GAAACCACATTTGTGCTGCTGTCACTTTTTGTCTTTGGACATTTGTGTACAGGCTTTCTATAATGACATACTAAAAATGCTTGTTAACTTCAAATGAGTGGATTACAATATGTTTAACCCAGGAAAATCACTTCCATATATTAGGCAGAAACTTGAGTCTTTACTTCTTCTAGTTCTGCACTTGCAGTAGGGATGTTAATACTGATAAAACTGCAGGAGGCACCTGATAGGTGAGGGCAGTGAGGAGTTTGTTCTTTTCAGAAAAAAAAAAAAAAAATTAGGAACCTCTTCCTAGATCTCTGGGTCTTTAATGTCACAATATCTCTAAAGAGAAGTCAGACATCTCCATAGGGTTGCCCATCTTCTCCACTTCCACCAGTCCTCTCTGACTGGGAACAGAGTTCTGACTATCAACAGAACCACGGCATCTCCAGAGTATTTTTGTTTGTGCTTCAGAAGTGGGCAATGTCAACACTGTCAACATGTCAACAATTAGTGGCACAGATGTAGAAGATAACATGAGGACAGATTTTGAATGTCACACCCAGGCTCCTCCAGGGCTGGGAGCACATCTGCCTAGAGATGCATGGGTGACGCACCATCCTCGCAGCCCCACTGAATTCTGAACTCACTGCCATCCCTGAACTCACTCCCACCTTGCAGGTTATTTCCTAAAAGTGATCAACTGCACTTTTCTTCTTTGAAAGGCAGCATTTCCCAGCTCCTGCTAGGTTTTCACATTCACACTTAATCTCTGGTTCACAAAGAATAATGCACTGACTGGCTAAAAAGGTGCAAATCTGAATCCAAACTACCCATAAATTGCAAAAATACCAGAAACAGCTGCCTAGCTACAGCAGGACAGAGTTTAGGACAAGCCATGAGATCTACCACAAAACTTACTAAACCTTATGGTGGGTTTTTCATTACTTACACTGTACTGTGGGATGAGCTTCCAGCTGCCCCTGTTGTGAGTACCTGTACTGGTGAGCTGAAAGCAGCTGATGGTACCAAGAGGTTCAGGGGGAAAAAAATACAAAGGATAAAAAAGACAAGGTTACTATACCAGATCTCTCTGGAAATAATTGTATTAAATATAGAAAAGGTTATGTACCATTTCCACTGTCCTTTCTCTCCCCATAGGCTGCTGGCCTATGATTGTTTCTTGTACCTACCCTGTAGCTGATTTTATTGTTTATTCCTAGCTCCCCCTCCAGTTTGCTCGGGGCCCTGTGTCTTAGCCAGTGACTCGGAGCTCCCTTTCCAAGTTCAGAACCTTTCTGGCTAAAGTCTGCGGTGACACGAACGCAAAAAGACAGCTCTGGGCACGGGGCATGCAGCCGTTCCTGGAGAGAGCAGCCTGTGCCGCGGCCGTACCCTTTCTGCAAGATTAAGTGATTAAGCCTAACTAAAAGTGACTAACAGGGATACATCTTTCCCTGTCAAACACAGAAGGTTTTCCATAGAGCAGCTCCAAGGTTGTGAGTGAAGGTGAACAGCACTGCTTCTAAAGACTCCTTAATTTTAAGAAATTCAAAGACCCGGCACGACACTTTGTTCTGTGACTTTCTCAAACCTACACCCTACTTCACATCCTTTCATGAGCCATTATCTTTCTTATTTAAAGCAGACACAACAGAAGTTTAAAAAAGGCAGAAGAGATGAGAAGTACAAGTCTCTGCAGATGTAAGGAATAATTTAGCAAAGTATTTTATCATCCAGTCCTGCCAGGTCTTCAACACATTCTGCAAGCACGGACTCCTCCGCTCATCTTGTGAACAGTGGGGAGAGAGAGCACTCCAGCCTTTTTCTGGTTGCAGGAAACTCCGTGGTGTTGACTGTTCATTCATTCAGCTTTTGCATACATATTTATATGGCTAAAGCCTTGAGAGTCTTCATGGATTGACTACTAAGTCTGTATTTTGCAATAAAACATTATTTATTTACGCATTCATACTGATTCATAAAAACCCACGTTCAGATTTTCTGATGAACATGGTATAAAAACACATAAAATAGGGAGATCCAAAAGAATATGTTTTATTTACAGGTTTTGTATAAATACAGAAAGCAGGGGATGGGATAAATAACAAAGTAGTCACCAAACTGTTTTCATTAATAACTTATCAAACCAGTTTTATTTTTGAAAACATCCAAAGGAAGCAAAAAGCTATGCAGGCAGCTGGTTGAATTTCTCCTGGAGGGTTTGAATGGGACTGCAGGCCGGTGCTGAATTTCACTCTTGTGAATAAATCCAGGCATTATCTTTTGGAAAGCAATATCTTTCAGGCTGGAATAAAGCCTGTTAAGTAAATTATTATTTTTGTTTTTAAAACTAAGTGACTCTTTATTAAAAAAGAGACCTACTGAAATTTGAATTTTTCCTCATTACCTGAGGCATAATCAAATTGTCAGCTGTTTTACAAGGGTGATAATGTGGAACAGAAGTGTGATAACATTTGCCATCATTCCAGCTGGTTCCCCCCAAAAGACACCTTCTCACAATCTTCTCATCAGTGAACCCACACGATCTTAGAGAAGCACCACTATTGTTTAGAACTGGTCTGATAATGAACATCAGAGAACCATTAAGTTTGGGAAACAACTCCAAGATCATCGCGTTGATAGATACAAGTGGTTGTAGACCTGTTTTATTTGGACAGTGTAATTTGAAACACAAATTAAATGATGGCTTCTGGAAAAAATGTAGGAATTTGTCACTGATTTCACACTGTCAGCGTGATCAGGATTTCACTACTGGAGTATATCATGCTGTTTTCAGATTTCAGAAGCAAATGCTCAACCATTTCATTTTACTGATGTAGAGAGAAATTGAGAATATTTCAAAATAGTTTATAATGCTATGACAAGATACACCAGGTAAAGGTATGACTTAAGGGTGAAAATAAAGTACATATTTTTACAAGGGTTTTGGGGTTTTTTTAGACCATTTATTAAGAACATTTTAAGATCAAGACTAGTTATTTCCTAGAAGTTTTGCTCTACTTTGACCAAGAATTAGTTCAAGGGATTTACTAGCTTGTGCAGTGTAAGTCAGAGTAGATGGGTTTAGGAGCTGCGACTCTATTTGTCTAACTATAATGGATCTATAAATTAATCAAACTGGATTGACCATAAGGGCAGTTTCCCAGTTAATGTTAATTCATTCTTTAAGTGCATACATTATCAATCACTATTTTTAAATATACTTAGAATATAGAATAGTCTGTAATTAAGAGTCCAGACCTTTGAGCTTGACATCCTCAATCTACACTGAACTGGGATGTAAATGGCAGTCCTCATGCACTAGCTGAGGTACTTGGTTAGATACTGCTCCTATTACTTTAGCTGGATACCCTAATTCCATCCCTGCAGATCTGCAATTGGGCATGATCAACATCTAGCTGAGTTGTTGAGGGTGATAGGATGATTTTCAAGGACTGGGCCTATTTTCATTGCTTAGTCTTTCCTTGTGAAACAGTAATGCTTTAACTAATTCAAATAACAATGCTGGTCCAGGAAGATACATTATTTTTGCAGTGAATCCACTAATGTCATCATGTTATGATGGATGAGAATATCAAGGAGGTTAAAGATATGCAACTGGATATAAATGATTATATGGAATAGTGTAGTGGTAGGGTACAACTGAGGGCACAACTATACCACCCACCTTGTCTCCTGCTGCCCCTGGGATGTGGCTCATCCCTGAGCATGCCTGGGGCTCTCAATTAACCTGCAGGGATAACCTGGGCTTGCCACGTTCTCTCCCTGCCCTGGTTATCTATCCAGGAGGCCTCAACACCTGAGCTCCCTGTGACCTGAACTGCAAACCTGCTCATGACGGAGGTGCCTTGGTCTGGGAGGCCTTGCTGCTCCTCTCAGTGGCACTTCATCACCCTGGTGTGAAATAAGTTTCAGATTACCCCACTAACTATTCTGCTAATGCAGTCAGTATATTCCATGCTCTCTGTGTTCCTCCAGAGCTCCAAAGGAGAAGCTTGCATGGATAACAAACAGCTGATCCTGAAGATACTTAAAAGCTTTTTCCTGAGATAACTATGATTTTCACAATATTAGTGCATAGCAATGGGGCATGGAAGTATTCCTTGGTCTTTTGGCAGACAGAAATCTTCCGTATGTGATAAAACAAAACCAGTCACTTTCTATGGCACAAGAAAACTCGTGGTAAGGTACTTGAGTTTAAAAAAAGCCCAAAACCTAAGAAACAAAACCAACAGCAAATCTTAGAGGCTGGGAAAAGCCACTGCTGTGCAGCAGGAGACCAAAATCACCTCAGTTATACCTTTCTTCACGTGAATGGGACTCGCTTCACTGACTTCGCTGGGAGCTTTATAAGGGGCTAATATTAACGTGAGGCCAGCGGGAGAGCCCCCTCTGCCCGAGATCCGGGTGGCTCCGCGGGCACCGCACACAGCGTGCCGTGGGCAGCGGAGCGGGCGGGCAGGGCTCGGGGCCGGAGCTGCGGACAGGGCTCAGTGCCGGAGCTAGGGCAGGGCTCGGCAGGCAGCGCTCCCGGTGCCGAGGCAGGGCTCCGCGGAGAGGGCTCGGTGTCGGAGCCGGGGCAGGCCTCGGGCAGGGCTCAGTGTCGGCACCGCTCTCGGTGCCGGAGCAGGGGCAGGGCAGCGCTCCCGGTGCGCAGCCGCCGGCGGGCCCCGCGCCGCCCGGAGGAGGCGCTTCCCGCGGCGGCGGCGGCGGCGGCGGCCCCGGTTTCCAGAGCAGCGCTGCGAGCCCGCCCGGCTCCCAGCCCTCGGCGGGATGCGCTCGGAGGCGGCGCCGCAGCTGGACGGGCTGGAGAGGTTCGCCAGCGCCGGCAAGGGCCGGGGACTGCGGGCGCGGCGGCGCTTCGCCGTGGGCGAGCTGCTCTTGAGCTGCCCGGCCTACGCGGCCGTGCTGACGGTCAGCGAGCGCGGCAGCCACTGCGACGGCTGCTTCGCCAGGTAGGGCCCGGCCGAGCCCGGCTGCTGCGGGCGGCGGCACAGCTTTACCCCTGCTCGGCTCGTGTGCTGCTCTGGCAGCGCGGAGGTCTAAAGTCAAAGCTGGTTTTTCCTGCTCAGCAGCTCAGGAGAGAGAAAGGAAAAGGAAAAAAAAAAAAAAAGTTTTGCTCTTCCCGTGCTCTGGCGGTCGCGTAGACACGTGCGTAACCATCCTCTGGCAGGAAGTTTCATTGATCCGTCTAGTTTTGTGATAACTTGGTGTTCGCTGGTTTTAATGAAGGTTTGATGAGGGAGAAAGGGTCTGCAATCGCCTGATTCACACCTCACATTCCCTAGTGCGGAGCGAATATCTATGAATGAAATGTATATATCTCCGTATTGAAATATACACAAATACTTGTATATTACCTCTGTCTGAAACCTTAGTCTGCAAATTACTTTTACTGGGGCGGAGCGGAGGCAACGCAAGAACTTGTTTGTCTCCTGGCTGGGAATAGTGGGACTGGAGTGCTGCCTGCTCCTGAGCGCTCCGGGATTCCTGGTGCTGCAGGGATCCGGGCGCTCGGGTCTGCCGGGGCCTCTGCAGCTCCTGTTCACCTGTGGGAAGGGTGAGGAGGTTTTCAGTGTTTGCCTCAAGCCTCTCAATTTGAGCTGCTGCAGGGTGTATTAAAAGGTGTATTAGGGTTAGCTAATTCAGCATGGATATGACACGCTGGCACGGCACACCACGCCATATTTTTAGAAAGTGTAGTGCTTTTGTGGCTTCTGACAGCTTGCTGAGGAATTAAGGGTTTACCTGGTTATAACTCAGAGCAAATGTTAATAGTTGCCTCAGTAAAGAAAAACAACTGTTGCAATTGTGCTATTTTTATCCACACATCCTTTTTCTTTGCTCATTACCTTATCTGCCTATGACTTGGTCACTTGATTCACCCCGCTCTTTGCATATGAGCACCTAATATAGTTCTAGTGAAGCTGGTGAAGCAAGTTCCATTAATTTGAAGAAGGGTACCGCTGGGGTGATTTTCATCACCTTCTTTTACACCTTTTCCCACCCTGAAAGGTTTGCATTGAAGTGATGTGTATGGTTTAAGAGTTTTTTGTTTTTTGGGGTTTTTTTTAACTCTTGTACCTAACCACAAGTTTCCTTGTGCCAGAGAAGCTGTCTGGTTCTGTTTGTCATAATCAGATTTGTCTGCCAAAGGACCGGGGAATACTTCCATGCCTCACTGATGTGAAGTAATACTGTAAGGATAATAGTTATCTCATGGAATAGCTTTTAGTAGTTATCTTCGGGAGCAGCTGCTTGTTATCCATGCAAGCTTCTCCTTTGGAGCTCTGGGGGAGCACAGCAGTCGAGGAACCCACTGACTGCAGCAGGACAGCAGTTAGTGCGGTAACCTGAGACTCATTTCACACCAGGGTGATGAAGTGCCACTAAGAGGGACGATGTCTGGGTGAGGTAAGCCGATCCGGCAGTGCTCAGACATGTGTTCTGTGTCTGTGACTGTTGCATTAGCGCTGAACTAGCACGTACAGATTCCAATCTGTGCTGCTGGGACTTCCAAAGAGCCCTAGCAGGGAGGCTGTGGGCTCCACACCAGCCGTGGGAAGGGAAACTCGGCCAAGTTGTCCTGAACGCTTTTGTGGCGACATGGGCAAAATGAGGCCGGGACATTGTATTTGCATGAGATAGTGGTTGTTACTTTAAATACGCGGTTGTAATGTCGCAAGAGGGGTCGTGGTGTTAGCTGGGCTCGCTCAGGTTGCACCTTGTGTGCCTTGCAGATACAATCAGAGGATGCCAGGCTCGCTGGGTTTTATGGGCTCCAAATGCCAGTGACCACCCAAATGTTGTACACTGTTACATCATGTAAGGACCCTCACCCGTGATTTACTCCAGTGAGCTTACCTCAGTGTAAGGCTATTTATTTTATTTTTTCCTGCAGACATTTTAAAAGCATTCAGTACTGCTGAGAGATCCCTATTGCTGTCATACCAAAATGTCACTTGTTGGGTAACACATGTTCTATTTTTGGTGGGATCTCTTGCAACACATGCACTTTAAAGCAGAAAAGGACCTTCCTCGTGGCAGTTCCCTCTGGTGGGGTATATACAAATATAAAAAAGGAGAGTGTGAGCCCTAGGTCTGCTCAGAATACACAGATATCAGAGCAGACAGGGTGGGGCAGTAAGGGGCTCTCAGGTGACAGGAGGTCAAACAGTATATTTAATAACACAGTATTTTTTCTTGGCTTTTGAAGGCACTTACTCAACAAAGGTCATGCATTCTATAACCAAAGAAGCAGTACAGTTGTCAGAACAGAGCCAAAGGGTTAATATTGGTGAAGAGAACAATTCTAAAGTTTGCAAAACACAGTAACTTTTGCTCATTATTCTTTGTATGGTGGCAAAAAATGATGCTGTCTATCAAAGAGCATAGAGTAACATGTCTTCAAACCCAGCAATTTATCTAGAAAACAGGGTGCTTTTGCATCATAAGAGTTGCTTGGAAAAATGTGCTTTTGAAATCTAATACAGTTTTCATTGTGAAATGCAAAATAGTGCGCAAAAAGTGATCCAGTATATGCTTTTATTTCATTCAGGTTTCTAGAACAGAATAACTTCTGTTTTCTTTTTAAGGAAAGAAGGATTGGCCAAGTGTGGAAGATGCAAACAGGCCTTTTATTGCAATGTGGAATGTCAGGTACGGTCATGCATTTTGTGAGGGTAGGGGAAGGAGGGTGGGGGTGCAGAACTCCAATTTTTGTTTGTGTGGCATTGATATGCTCTGATTGTAGCTGTGGTTAATAGCAGTCCAGTCAGTTCCAGTATCCCACAGATGCTGACCATGGAGTTGTGCATCGGACAATTACAGGATTTCGACATGGTCTGCATGAGTCTTTCAAGATCAGTAGCTTCAGGGCTTGGTACCACTGAGACTTTGATTAGAGCTGCCTGTCAACCCACTAATTATGTCTGTATTACTTCTTCCTTTAAGGACAGACCTGATAATTTAGCATTGGCTCACTAAACTGGTAAGAGATCCTGTGTCTAATGGAAAAAAATCAAATCTCTAAATAGCCATCTTAGGAGAGAGAGAGAGTTTTTTAAGATTTTTTGTTTTAGAATATTTGAAATATTTTGAGTATTGAGAGTACCACAGCTGATGGTAGTCATAACCATTTGAAACCTATCAGGCTTTCTCCTGAGCTTACTCAGTGTAGCAACTTTTATTCTTTTTAGTTTTTAAAGGATGTAGAACGTAAGTTCATACTAATAAAGTAGAGCAATACAAAGATGTCCAAAATATTTGCATGCAGTTTTAACTCTGTTTTTAATTCAAATTAGAATAAGCATCTTTAAAGAAAAGAGAGGAAAAAAAGACAGGATTAGACATTAGAATCTAGCCTTTTTGGCCCTCAGCTTGATGGGGAAGAATGATCCAGTTTCTATGTGGAAAAACCCATCTGGGTTGCTGGTTGGATAACGTGAGCTATGCCAGGTCTGTGCTGCTGGGCACAGAGTGTGGAACAATGCTTATGAGGGATTTGAGTGACCCAAGGCCTGGCATGCCACTGTGTGCTGGGCTATAAATAATCCCAACCTTGTCCCACATGTTAACGTGCTCCTGGCTGCATGGGGCCATGCCAAGTGGTCCCTGTTGTCATTACCTGGTCAGAGATGTCCTGGTTTGTGCTGCCCAGTTCCCAGGCACTTTGGACATGGCTGTTGCTTTTATTTCGAGGATGTCTCTTGTTCTCCTGTTGCACAAGTTTCAAAAGAAGCCTGATCTCTCCTCAGTTTTCCTTCTATTCCCTCCCCGATTTCCTGCTTTCGCACAGAATCCTAGTCAGTTGTGGGTGAATCAAATAGCCTCTTGGTTTTGAGGCACCAGGAGAACTCAAAAGGCTTAACAGAAATGAGGTTTTTACAAAACTTGCAGTAGTTCATAGAATTTCCAAAGTGAAAGCTTACTGTATGAGTATCTTTAAGGTTTTTGAGAGAAATCTGGATGAGCTTTAAAGACAGTGTAGAGAAAGCCTGTGATTCGTTCATGAAAAATGCTTGTTTCTAAAAAATGTTTCCTCATTATTTCTTACAAGATTTAAACTAGATGAGGTAAGGAAATCCTTGAACAAAGCAGCTGTTTAGCAGCTTTTTTCTGAAATTGTGAGTTTCTTCTCTTACTATATAAAATATACAATGGTTTATGAAACAGCTGTGCAAGATTTTCTGAAGTAGGAAAGCTCAGTAATTTTTGCTGGGAAAAACAGCAAATAGATGCCATGTTGGAAGTAGAAGAACTTATTTCTTCTCATCAATGGTCCTTTGCTTTCATCACCAAGTGGCCCTTCCTCAGTGTCCTGACTTCCAGCCTTGACAAAGTTTATACTTTTTTATTTACAAACAAGGAGGGATTGATTTTTTTCCTCCCTCTGGTAAAGTTTTGTACATTTATTGCTTTTTTTGAGATTTTTTCTCTTTTTTTTGTGGTCAAAATTCTCTCTCTCTGGAGCCATTTCCTAGAGTAAAAACCTGAACTGCTCAAACTGAGTAGTTTTTCGAATTTAAGTCTGCTAAAGCTGATGCTCAGCAAAATCTTGTCTGTCTGATAAGTTAGTGAATTAGAATCTTTCCTACCTGTTGCTGTGTGGTATGATGCTCTAGATGTAAAGGCCTTTTTTTGATTTTGTTGATGTCTAAATCATAGTATGACATGCACAGGTGCTAGCACCTCACCCTTGCTGGTGACATACATATGGCTTTTGATTCCCTGGTTGATAGAACACTGTCTTCCATCTTTTGGGCCCTTCTGAGTCAGTCTGATGAAATTTATGAATGTTGCTGAGATTGAATTCTTTGACATTCTTTCAAAATTACCTTCAAGCACAATATTCTCTAGAAACTGGTCTCCACAGACTGTATGTGCTACACAGACAGCCTGCACTGCATCTTCATCCCTGTCTTGTTCAAAGGCACTTTTCAGCAGTTCAGCAATTCTTTGTAAAAGCTAAAAAGGATATCTGTGCCTTGATACTGAATTTGTAATGCTGGAATGTACAGGAAGTGTGTCCCTTTTGCCTGCATGGATGTGAGACATTATGAGACACTCATAAAAGGCCAGGGCTGTACTTGAGAACTGTCATGGTATTGTTAATTTCATTTTCATTTTATTAGTTAATTTTTCCCTGTAAATCCATACTTTTTTGGTCAATTCAGCTAAAAATTGTATGCACCCAACAAGGACATGGTATGATTTCATATGTTGGTTGGTACCTTGTTAGTCAACACAATGCAGTTAGACAAATATTTACCACATGAGGTATAGTGGGATAAAAACCCAAAGCTTTCAAGCTTGCTCTTTTCTTACATAAAGATGTCCTATACCACAACTCATAGGAATTCTTGCTCATTGTGGGGAGAGGTGGATCTAGAGGACTGGATCTATGCACACACACACAGGCTTTGGCACAGCCCCTTAATGTTCCTGTTTTGGTCTCTTTGCTTTTGGGATGGATAACCACATGTTTCACCTACATTAAGCTGCATGCTTGCATAGGTGTGGATTCAGGGCACATAAGAGTGGAAGTTGCCTTCACTGCCTGTCCTTGCTGCTCTTAATGTTTGGTGGGTGGAATCTAGTCTGGGTTTGCTGGGTCTTTCTCTCCCCAAGCCCTAATCCAGGTCTCCTTTAAAAGGGATTGTGATTTCCAGCAGATTCACACCGTCCCACTCTCCAGTTTCACCTCCTTGGAGCACAGGCTTGTTATTATAATAGTGGCTTTCAGCCCCCATCTGCAGCTGTTTGGGTCTTGACTTCTTAAATTATAATAATTTTAGTCAAGCAGGAGGAGACTTGTGCTCATTTTTTCTGTTTAGAAATTAGGTGCTGGAACACCCTGAAGGGAATTGTTTAAAGAGGGTTATGTGGTTGCAATTTTGGACCTGATGAACATGAACCAGCTACTGGAACTCCTTTTGTTGTTATTTACTCATGGCTTTCATTTATCCCAAAGAGAGTGGAGATAGCTAGCCAGTGTGCAGAAGGAGATTTCTTGGTGGTGATTTTCAGCATTTGAAATATATTTTGAACAAACCACTTAGGTTTTTCTTAACATGTCACATTAAAGGCTGCCGTAGTTGGTATTGCTGGAGTGAGTGAAACAGGTATTTTTACCAGCTAGTAAACCTCAAAATGTAGTTGCACACCTGTAATTAGCATTAAGCAGGTGTATTTTAAATGGGACCTTGTAGAAATTGCCTGCTCCTCTTTGTTAAGATGTAGAAAAAAATACAAAATGTTTTGCTCTGATGATTCTGCACAAAAGGATTTTGACACTGCAAGATTGTGTTGGATGTTTGTCCCCCCTATAAAAAACTTTCCCAGTGTATTTTTCTTTGGTAAATGTCTCCTGTGAACATGTTAAATGTTTGCCCTCAGTCAAATAACTTCTATAGCCCAGTGCTTGGTAAATGATGATGGGGAGGGATGGCTGTGAAGATATATAAAGCTACTGCCTTCACTGCTTGATGAAAGGCTGTATCAGAGAACTTTACCAATTAATATCAGACATCAGAAGTTGCCTCACTGGAATTCAGTTAAGGAGTTGGATGCCATTTGATCACAATTGGGCCTTAAGATTCTGAAGAAGTGAGCTTTACCTGTGCGCTGGCTTGCCCATCATTTCTCTCTGCTATTTATGTGTGTTTCCTTTCAATTGAATGAAATAGAACTTTTTATTTGGTATTGAAAAAGCCCATGTAAAGTAGGAGGTATGAGGACATTTGTTTGGACTTGAGTTTTTTTTTTTAGTATTATATTTTGTCACTTGTTGTTTTTCTCCTACAGTGAGGTGTAAGACAGTGTTCTGGGAATCAATCCAGTAGTCCTGGATGGCAGAATCTTTTTGAAGAACTTGGAGAAGAGGAGTGTTCCCATGTGCTTTGATGTAAAAGGCATAAGGTTTAAAGAACTTCCCTCCCAAAAATGTTGTCACTCCTAAATGAAGGGGAAAATATTGTGGATGTAATGAAAATAGGAAGAAAATATCATTAATGTAGCATTAGGGATTCAGCTAGAACAATGCTACTTGTTATAATTCAGACTACCTGGAGGAAAACGTGGAAAAGAATGCAAAATACAATCCTGCTGTGATCGCAGGGAAAGCTGCTGTCATGGTGCTTCTATCCCAGGTATTACTCAGTCATCAGAACTCTCTTTTTTTTTGTGGTGTTTCAGGCTTTTATCTCATTTTGCACAATTCAGCCGTATCTTGTCCCTTTAACCTCCCTACCAGTTCATATAACTCAGTGTGATTCTGCCCGGGGAAAGATTTTAATTAACGATGTGTAAAGAATAAAGGGACAAATGGATTTTTTTTTAAAACACTGCTTCAAGACAGGCACGTGATTTTGCATTTTGATTTTTTGTTTTATCAGGTAATTTCTCTTGTTTATTTAGTGGGTGTGTATGGATGAGAGTCCTGCAAAGCTTCAGGTTCAGTGCCTTCACTTTTTGAACAAGCACGCTGAAGTTAGTGGGTGTCCTGGGTAAGCAAGAAGAGGTGAGAAATGAGATTTCCCTCTGTGTCTTTTTAGCCTTTAGCCTGTAGATTCCTAAGCAAAGGCTGTCAGGAATTTTCCAGAAAAGATTTTGGGGCATACATGGGAAATGGGTCTCTCTGGGGTCATTTTGTAGTGTGACAGCTGTAGGAGAGTTGAGAGTGTAATTTCACATGACATGATTACAGTGTAATATACTATTTTGGTTCTGGTCTGTATTGCCACATCCTCTTAGAATATTTACACTGGAGCTTATTTCAAGCAGGCTGTATGTAGGTTCTTTTGGAAGTACCAACAGGGATATTGAGGACAGCAAAGCTGACATTGTGAGGGCTTGAATACCCTTGCAGTGTTGCACTGCTTCAAACCCTACCCAAGGCCAGGGCAGGTGCTGACCTTTCTTTTCCTAATAAAATAACCTCCTAAAGCTGTCTGTGCCCAGCGCACTTAAAATAACTGTTTTCAGTGGAAGAAATTTTGGTGTAGTAACTCTGAAATGAGTAATTTTGGCTTTTGTTCTGATCTGCAAAACCTGTAAATAAGCTGAGCAGCCGAGGCAGGAGGCACTGAGGGTCCTGATTCCTGAGTGTTCCCTGCTTTGGGGTGCTGTGTGTAGTTCCCACAAGGAATCCATCTCCCAGCAGACCTGTGGCACATCTACCAGTCCTGTGTAGATGCTTCAGACAGCCTCCAGTGTGTCTCCCTGGTGTTCCAAACAGCTCTTGCTTTAGTGGTTAGGCAGCTGAGGGAAATTGTTCCTTCTGTGCCACTCGTCCACTATGATGAGCCGTATTGTTGGAATTTTTAAATGACTATTAATTATCTAAAACAGTAATTATTTATTTATTATTTAATAAATTATTTAATTATTGTCGGGTTTTTTAAAAACTGGGTCTGAGTGGGCCAACTCAGGGTCTGCCATACTGAGTGAATCACAGTAATGGGATTTTCAGAACATTCTGGAAGGTGCTAAAAGTTTTTCAAGTTTTCACTTACAGATTTGTAGGGTTTGTTGTGAGTATTTTTCTCTTCTCGTGTTTTCCACCAGTTTGAATCTGGTATGAAAGCAAAATTTGATGCTTCCTAAGCAGACAGAAAACTATAGGTCTGTTCTAATACAGTGATATAAATGTGTGTTTGGGAGGAGACATAGCAGTAAATAACTGCATTGCTTGAATATTTCCATGTTTAAATGAATTAATAAAATGAAATTTGATGCAGTCTGAGGACAGCCTGGGCTAGTGCAGATTGTTTATATGTGATTCTGTGCTGTTGTTTGGAAGATACTGTGGCCTTGGGTGAAATTTGTTGAGTCACAAAAGCCAGTGTGTGCCTTTTGCCATCACTCCTGTGTGTTGTTACTGTCTGTTGAGCTAGGAATATGCTATGCATTACCTAAATTATATTCTATACATTATGCTGAAATGTTTGTCTGTATTAGTGTTTTTTGATTATCTAGCTGTGCATTTATTCTTCAACATTTAAGGGGAAAAAAATCTGATAATTCCATCAGAATGTTTGTGTTTGACCTTACAGTCAAATAATTGTTAGTGATTGTGAATCCATTGACTTCAGACACATTACTCCTGATTACAGCAGGGTCACCTCATAGTGAGGGGCCAAGGTATTAAATGGAAATGAACCCAATAAAGTTATCAGGCTCAGACCTACTGCATCCTCACATGCTTGATCTGAACAATAAGAACTGGTGATTTATAAATCATGTTGTCTGTTTGCTCCTCTGTCATTTAATACTTTTTTTCTATTGAGTAAATGAAGATGTTCTGACCTCAGCTCATCCCTTGTGGATTTGTTTGGGAAAAAGCAAGATAGCTCTGCCCCTTAAATGTGACTCAAGCTTTTGTTCCCATTCACTGAGCGTCACCTTCTTTTTTAAAGGAAACACATTTCACTTGACCTCTAGGATCTGGCAGGACTTGCTTCATCCCCTTTTTCATAAGTTTATCTCCATGGCTATTTTTTTTTTAATTATTTTTTCCTCTGTTTTCAGAAGGAAGACTGGCCAATGCACAAGCTGGAATGTGCCTCCATGTGCACTTTTGGGCAGAACTGGCAACCCTCAGAGACTGTGAGGCTAACAGCAAGGATCCTTGCCAAACAGGTGAGCAGAAGGCAAGGCTTGGCTTGGGAGATTTGCTCCTGCTCTGGGTGCCAGGGAAGGCAGGAAAATGAAAATTGAGCGACAGTAACTGTCCCTGCAGAGCACACACGGACACACAGACACAAGTTTCCTGTGTACAGACAGGTGTGACACAGAGCTCGAGCAGCTGAGTGCACTGACCATCACACCACTGCAGCAGGGTCAGGGCCAGCATGGTCCAGCTGGAGACTTTTGTGGGGAGCTAGAGAAAAACTAGTGAGGCCTTCAGCTGTAACCTGGGGCCAAGTACTGCTGAACAGAGTCTGGGAATCTTTACTGATGGTTTCATGTTGGTGTTTCAGCCTCTGTTCTGGTAGATTTGAGCTCTTGCTTACACATGTGGGCAAGCACCAAGACCACACTGATAAAAAGAAAGAACAATAAGATTTGCTGTTTGGGTTTAATTCCAAGGAATGCTTCTGGAGTTGTGTGGCTGCAGGCACTGATACCTTTATGAAGCAGTTGTCTGTTGTAGTATTTTTGAGCTACAGTTGCACAGCCTTGTGTAGCATATAACTCTCAGTATGTTTATTAGTCAAAACACCTCTGAGGTATTCAGGTATAAACATTTATGATTCTGAGTTAGCTGGTGAAGACCAGAGTTTGAGAGAGAAATCTCAGACCCTTTGTGTTTGGGAAAAAAAAATATTGTGAGTAAGGAAAGAAGATTGCAATGTCAGTCTCTATTTGAGTGTTCCTTAACTCTATGGATAACACAAGTGCTTACAGGGATGGGATGGGATTCACGAGTTTCAAGGTTATTGTACTGTGTATCTTTGTATAGCTCTAAACTCTCCCTGCAAAAACAAATCCTCTTTGAAGCATATTTTTATGATTGAGGTCTGCTTATGTGACAAGGGCAACCTGGATTTTGTATGTAGGGAGGATTTTGGTGGCCTGCTGGGAAGGTAGCTGCATCCTTGCTGTGTGTGTAGATGTGTGTGCATGAATGTACACGTGTGTGACTTAATTAAAGCCGTTTGGGGGTGATCCACAAACAAAATCCAATGTTTAATGACAAAAAGTCATTGGAGTAAATTTTTGCTTTCATCGCTTACAGGGAGGGGGGAGAACCCTACATGTCATATAAAAGCTAAATATGCAAACCATAGTCCCTGAACCTCAGCTGCTGGGCCACCTGCAAAGCCATATTTAATGGCCAAGATTACAAAGAAGTGGCCTTAGGCCAGCAGTGGAGCATTGCTTTTGAACTCTGTCAACAGTCAGTTTATTCACTTTCCTCAAAGCAAAGCCTGTCTTCTGCCTGCTTGCTATTGTTAGCAGCTTTCTGGGTGTCTAGAACAAAGCAAATGACATATTTAAAATACTGTTCAGTTTATGTATATAAATTTGAGAGGAGTTCATCTTTGGCTGCCTAATTTCGTGTGGAGAGAATATTTCTATGCCTTTAGTTAGGGCAGTCAATTTAACTCATTGCTGTTCATCAACTCTTATAAATTCCACAGACTGTGGGTAGGTGGGAGTTTCCAAATTCTGAATGAGTACACAAAACTGCTGAAGTGAAACATTAAAATATTTTCCTTTTTTTTCCCCTTGTTGTTAGAAAACTCACCCTGAAAGAACACAGTCAGAGAAGCTGCTTGCTGTAAGAGAGTTTGAATCACGTAAGTAAAAAAGGCTTGCAGGTAAACAGAGGTTTTGACTTAACTATATTAATGGTTTCCCCATGGCTCCCCTCCATCAACACCTTTCAGAACATCCTGCTCCTGAGGAAAGGAGTAAACAAAGAGAATGGAGGTTCTTCATTTTCTTCTTTCTTTTTCTTTTTCTTGGCTGTTTGTGGGAGCTGTGAAACAAGGATGAAAACCTAGACAGAGTTAATTATGTAGTATACATCCATCTCTTGCTTCTCTGGTATTCTAGTGTCTTTTGAGAATCGTAATGTTGCAAAATTAAAATAGCTGGTATTTGTTACCAGGAGGCACAAAATCAGAGACAGCACAGTTGCTTGATGGTGACAGTGACTAAGGGGCTAATTGCAGAACCCTCTGGACTGTGCTTCAGTATCTGTCACTGCCAGTCAAATCTGACATGTTATATATGATTCCATGTCCTAAATGCTCTAAAATAATACAAAGAAGGAGAGAAGGCAATGGCTTGTTTTAACTGGAAAGCTGCTTTTTACATCCAGTAAGGCCGAGTTAGAAACTGACCATTAGTGCCCATCCTGGCACAGTTTTCACCAGCCTGTTGTTTTCTGTCTTGGTGCTGAGCATCATATACACAGGGGCAATGGGTTGTATGTTCACATTTCTCACTCTGATGGCTTCCAAAACCTTTTTCAAAATGCCGAATAAATGTACTCATTGCTAGGACTTGAGGTAGCAGGGTAACCAAGCACTGTAGTCTTATTTGCTTCCTGAACAAAATCTCCTGTCGTTGCTCTTGGGACAACTGGGGGAACAAGGGGGAAAAATGCCAACATTTAACTTTGCCTATGGCAAGGATAGTTCTACAGGTAAGTTGGCAGGATTGATGTTGAGGAGAATGGGTAAGTTTCTGTGTATTCTTCTGCATTGCAGCTTGTATTCAGTAATTTATTAATTTGAGAGATAAAAGGCTGAAATGTTTTTTTTCTGTTGCGGTGTTCTATTTGTCCTCTAGCAGCCTTTGTTTTGTTAGCAAGCACCCCTGTTCCTGCTGCTTTTTGACTCACCTCACTGCTTAGCACACCTTTATCAGTTGTCTGATGCTTTGCAACACCATACACAGGACAGGAAAAGGCACCTGGCTGTCAGTTGGAAGCTCAGAATTTTTTATTTCTGATTTGTCTTCATTCTCATCAAATTTCATTTTTCCATTTTCCTTAGTGTTTTTTGTGACTCCCCCGTCATTCACATCTGCTCTTACAAATAATTTCCTCCTTCTTTGACTATTGTGTGCAGCCTTTTCTCTCCATTATTATTTTGAGCTGGAGAAAGCAGGAGAGAACTAGTAACACTGCCACTGTGAGAGAGTGGATTAGGAAAAAACTTTCAAACATTCTGCTCTTGAGGGGAGAGAGAGGGGACCAGGAGCATATGGTTGATCGTCTGGCTGCTCTGCATGGACGAGGTAGGGAAAGGTTTAGTGGCCATGGCTTTGGCTAGAACTTGTCATGGGCCTGAGGGTTAATCTCTGGAGAAACCCTAATGGAATACAGATGGCAGGTGTGTCAGGGCATTTCCACTGATGTTCCTGCTGTCTCCTGTTAGTAGATGTCTAAACACATCTCTGTTGGTGGTCACCCCAGCCCATGGGGATGTGGGCACTCTGAGGCACTGTTTGCTGCCTCCTGAGCAGGTACCTGCAGCAGGTCAGCTGGATTGCATTCCTGGGCAATCATCCTCATGTTATCCTGCCCTTGCTGCAAAGGGAGCCCTTTAGCCAGCCCGTGTTGTTGCTAGATCCCTACCACATGTGGCCACAGAGATTTGGGGCTTCTGTGCTAGGGAAATCCACATCCTATAAAAGCAGCAGGGATAAGCAGCCTTAGCAGCAGCTTGGGCTGGTTTGTGCTGGTAAGGAATAGGTCTGGATGAGAAAGATTCCTTATATAAAGCTTGCTCCCAGGTGGGTGATGTTCAGTGTGAGCTCTTGCTACAGTGGGTGGGACCATGTGTAGCAGGTTAGGTGGTGTCACACAGTTGAGGACAGCTGTCCCCAGCTGGAAGGCTTCCAGAGGGCCAGGGCTGCTGGGCTGACTGCTGGAGTTAACAAATGTGCTCTAAAGACTACAGCCCTTCTCCCAAGGAGGTAGTCTGTGTCCAATTATCTGCTAACCTAAAGATGTCAGAAAATGCTTTTTAATCCTTCATGTTGGGCATGTGCTGGACTCGGTGATCTTGGAGGTCTCTTCCAACCTGGTGATTCTGTGATTTTGTGTTCCTGTAGTGCACGTGTGGCTTTAGCAGAGGCAACGTTATGTTTGTGGAAGAGCAGGCACTTCTTGCAGTACTTCCAAGCGGCTTGTCCCTCAGGGGTTTCTGTAGAAGTCTGGGCCTCTTCTAACCTAAGGCTACCTTGAGGAGTGTTCCTGTTACTGAAATGAAATGTATTTTTTGTCCACAGACCTTGACAAACTAGACAATGAAAAGAGAGAGCTGATTCAGAACGACATTGCTGCTCTGCATCACTTTTACTCAAAGCACTTGGACTACCCTGACAATGCTGCCCTTGTAGTTCTCTTTGCACAAGTAAGTTGGCTAGAACACAGCCTGCTTAGGTGGATGGTGCTTAGGAGTTTAGCCTTCCTGAAAGGGGGAGGCTGTTAATGGCAATGGAAATGGTAGCTCTTTGCTTATCTTAGGGACAGATGGAGATCTGCTTCATTGAGCAGTAGTGGCTGGATGTGCCCCACTTCCATCCCGAGGGGAGAGGCTCTTGCCTGCAGACTTTCCATGAGCTGCTTCTCAAATGCTGAAGAAAAGGGGAAACAGCCTTTAATAAACCCTGCCAAAGTGAAGCTTCTTGTGGGCCAAACATAGTGTGGCTGTTGTTGAACTAACATGGAATGCTGCTGGCCTGAGACCCTGCAGAGGCAAATCCTTCATTCAGGCTTCAAACTTGTGGAAATCCTTGCTGGTCAGGTCATCATTGTGTTTGACCTTCACAGGGAGTAAACTTCAGAGACGTAGAAAGAGCTGCAGAAAGCGCAGCCTAAAACTTTTATCTGCTGTGTGGCTTTTAAATGTAGTCAGGTGGTTTGGCCATCTGGAGAGATGAAGGAAAGACAGGATGTCTTGTTAGATAACTTCTGATATCACTTCTTTTTTCTCACCTACTTTTCATATGCATCTGAATTGGATGTATTGTAGTGGATGGAATAATACACCAGTGGAATACTGAAAGATCCATTTTCTTCTTTTCCCTCTTTTGCTTCAATATGAACTACTTTTGTACTTAGGTTTCTGAGTAAAATAATATCTTGAGATGAGGGCAATTGTTGACTTCTGGGATGAAAGCTGAGTTGGAAATATCCTGTTTTTTAGAGCTGGGCATCTACCAACAAGGAGGCACAGTTACTATTTCCTTACTACAGTGCTACTCTTATTGTGTAGGGGAATGATTCCTTAGGATGTTTAGCATCTGCTTATCATCCCTTGTGTTGTTTCTAATTACACATTTCCTTTCAATGATGAGGAGTTTTTTCTCTTTTGAAGACTTTAAAATTTATATTTGTCAGCGGGATACTTTGAAGATGTTAGTACAACCAGTTTCTTGTGGTATTTCAGAATATTTTTTGTTAGAATGTAGCCAGAATTCTCCAAAGATTTCAGTATTTTGGCTATAATGACTTTTGTTTCATGTCCTGTCCAAGAGCAGCTCCACCATATTTGTGGTACTTTACCTGACTTCTGAGAGCTGCTGGCTCCCAGATCTCATATTCCATCCAGTCTTCTCTATGGTGTCACCCATAGGTGTTATCTTGAGCTCATCCTGATCATCAGGTAACTCTCTGCCACTGTGAACATTAGAATTTTTTGAACTAAAATCTCCAGAATTCATCTGGATGCTTCTCAGAAATGTCTTACAGGATGCAGCCTCCTGAGGTGTTAGTCCCAGGATAAATCTTTCCAGAAGAATGGGAAGTATTCATGAGCTGTGCGAACATGTTTCCTAATAATTAGTTCACTTAACCTAAAACCAGTAGTATGGATATGATGCTGCTTTGTTTCCTACAACACTTACTTTGGCCTCATGTGGTCTGTTTTGCTTCTCCATTCCCCATTGTTTTCTCCTGTGGTTCAGGGCAGTCGTTGGGACTCAAACACCTCTGACTCCTCATTGCTTTTAGTGAACTTTGCCTGATGCTGTTCCCTACACAGCTGAAGGGTAAGTGCTCCTTTTGAGTGGAATAGAATTCTTTTGTCCAAAGTCCTTGCTGTGTTCACCAGCTGTTGGCATCATTCTATTCTCTTTTGTCCCTATAGAATATAGCTCTTGAGGCTGGAGCTTTTCTTCCTCAGTCTCACCTTTCATACTCTTTGAACAGTTTCTGTCTTGCCTCAAGTTCCAGCATCTCAGCCTTTTCTTGAAGACCTTGTATTTTGTGCCTCCCTTTGCACATTCTCTTTTCCACCATTGGGAACAACCTTGAACTCCACTTTTATTGCTGTTGTCTCTACACTCCCTCCACTTTGCCTGTTTTTAGTCATGCATTCATCTGGTAAAACCAGTGTTATCTCATCCCTTCTAATCATTCCTCTTGTGTCATTTCTGATATGATACTTCCATGAAGTGTGTTGTCTCTGGCTTAGTGGAGGTGAGTTGATGATAACTCACTATGTATTTTTAAATATTTCCCTGTGATTCAGAACCCTCAAGCTGTTCTTTGTCAGCCTTTGTAGCCTTATGTTCTTACTTGCTGTTGATATTATCTTTCCCTTCTATTGTTTTAGCATTCAGCAATTACATTTTGGTTTTGGTTCTGGTATGCTCTTACATTGGCCAGTGCAGCAGCCTGTCCATCTTGAGAGACTGGGAAGCTTTGGGTGCTATATTGCTAAAAATAACAGGATAAAGATCAAGCAAAGGTAGCAGAGATACTGATGAGTGCATCAGGATACTTGCCTTAATTGTGAACTCACCTTGAACAGTTCATACCTGAGGAGTGGAATAGAATTCTTTTGGTATTTGGTATTTGTGTGTTTCTAAAAGCCAGTCCAGGCTGCATTCCAGCTTGTGGGGCATATCACTTTGCCTGATGAGCAACCTGGTCTACTGGAAGGTGTCCCTGCCTCTGAGGATTGGAGAAAAAACAAGAGATTGGAACTTGATCTTTACAGTCCCTTCCAACCCAAACCATTCAATGGTTCTGTGATTATTGCTGGTAGTATTTGTTGTCAGCTCTTACCCTTTCCAAAACAAATACTGCACTGCACTTGACTGACTGTTCTTGTGCCCTTTCTAGCTTTAACTGGACTTGGCCATGTTGTTTTAGTGAGTAGTTGTTTCAGTGTGTTACTGGTGCTTTTTTCATGTTTGTGGGGAGATAATGGTGAATGTGGAGAGGGTTCTCTTTGTGTCAGTATGTGTGGGATTTGAAGTGGAAGTGGAATAAAGTACTTGACTGAAGTGCATTTTGGCCACTTAAAGTAATACAAATCACATGAAAAAGATGAAACTTCTGTAAGATTCCTTTGACTTGGATGAGAACAAAAGTGAGAAGGTTTTAAAACCTGCTTGAATCTATTCTATAAGAGAGTTTTGTGAACAAGTTCTTTTGATCCTGTATCTGCTTAAATTAGGAATACACTTCCTCTTATACTCTGTCCTTCTTCTGTCCCCTCCTATTCTATGTCTTTATGAGGTTCAAGTCTTTCTCAGTGCTTTTGTTGTTTTCACATGTGCTTCAGCTGTAGCTGATATGTGCAGGCTTTGATGACAGGGCCATTGAGGCAGGTCCCTGTGACATGTGCTCCATCAAAGCTCTGCACTGCCCCAGTCTGGCTGAGTTGGCTGCCCTTCTCTGCCACACTGCTCCTTGCATGTAGCTCTGCTTTGGCCCTTTCCTTGTTGTGGCCCAATGAAGTCTCCTTGGCCCGTGCTGGGGTGAGGTTTTGTGTGCTCTTTGTCAGCCCCACTTCTCTTGGCTGGCCCTCCAAGGAGCAATTCACTAGGTGTGTCCTGAGCAGGTGCAAGTGTTGGACTGTCAGTTCTTTAGTGTCCCTTTGGAGTGAGACTTTGTCCTCACTTCACTTGTCGGGATGTCATGGAGCTCCCTGTGAGTCCTGGGGAGGTGGATGAAAATTTGTCAGCAAATTTCGGCAAGTTAGTTTGATGTGTGAGAATGTGATGTGTAAGCACGTAGGGAGTACTCAGCTGACCAGAAGCTGATCCATCACCTTTCTCTTTTTTCTTAGGTTAACTGTAATGGCTTCACAATTGAGGATGAAGAACTCTCTCATCTGGGGTCAGCCATATTTCCTGAGTAGGTTGATTTTAATATTTAAAAATATAAAATTAATTTATTTAAAAACAAATTGAGGAAGTAGATGTATACCAAAATAATTAATTATCTTGTTTTAAAGATCTTTACTTGGCAAATAAAATGTGGCAAATTATTTGCAGCAATTTTTCTTAAAAATCCAGTAATTTTGGTAAAATTGCGCATATCATTTGTTTTGAAACATAGATTGTGAACTATATCCAGGTTGGTAAAAAACATTTATTTGGGTAGCAGGTTCTGAACAGAGACATTAAGTAATAATCCAAGCCAAATGAAAAGGATTGCGGGTGGCTTGCTCTGTTTTGGCTGGGTACAATCCTTCTCCTGGTGCTCTCTGAACAATATCCTTTCTACCTTTGTTCCTTGGCAAATAGTAAATCCCTTTCACAGCTTCTTTGAGCCTCCTTGCTATGACAGTGGGTAAAAAAATATGTACAAGCTTCTTAGCTTTACGAATAAACTGCACATGTTGAGTGTTAACTGCAGTTTGTGAATGGGGAACTACAGCTTTCTTCAGGGCCAGAAAACATTTCTTGCATTTTTAAATCTGTCCTTCCCATTTAATATTGTGCAGAGGAGGGTATTTTCTGCCCCTGATCTTTGCACAGCCTGTATGAAGGTATTAGCACGGAGGCTTAGTTTGACTTCCTGGTGAGGCTTGGATTACTCGTAGCTTATCTGTGTCAAAGTAACCTGAAACTCACAGATGCCCACTCAAAGCTGGATGTGATTTTGCCAAGTGCTGCAGACAAGCAGTAGTATCTAGTCCTTGCTCCACAGATTATTCTCCTTCTTCTTCAGGCAGGTCTGTCTGATGTTCATATCCCTGATCTGCAGATTGGAAATTAATGCCTTGAAATGCCCAGGATCAGAGTCATTGTGGGAAGAGTAGAGCATTAAACCAGGATGTTCTGGAAAAATGTCCAGCACTGTCACTTTGTAAATGCTCAGTCAGATCTTTCCTACTTAACAGTTACGCCTGAGCTAAAAATACTGAATTGTTATTTTGCTGGATTGGAAGAGACAATTGTTATTTTGCTGGATTGGAAGAGAAATAATTAAAATTTTAAAAAATTATCTCAGATAAACAGGGAACTGCACTTTTTCCAGACTTGGTAATAAAGGGTTTACTTTTCTCTATCCATCCAGGTTTTTGTCCAAGTCATGTGCTTGTATAACAGACAGAGATGTCCTCCCTCCCACTTCAAACATGGAGGCAGTTTACATTTGAATAGAAGCCAGCTAAAATTTTAACACCTATCTCAACTTGCAATGCAGTGAAGACTTTTGTTTTCCTGTATTTACTTGTTTCCTTTTAGGTTTAACATGTTTTTCTTTCTCCTCTGAGGAAAATAGTCTGTCTGTCATGTTGATAGTGAAGTTGAATGAACATACCTGTCAGCTTTCCTGTAGCACTGTAAGAAGGGGAAAATAATAACTTACCTAGTTCTGCAATAATAGGATTTAAAAATTGTAATGATTCATTAGCAGAGCCATTCTCCATATCATTAGAGTAAATAACAGTACAAGAGATTTTCCCAAGGTTACCTTCATGTTAAGCCTCAGAATAAAAACAGCTTAGAGAGACAGACTGACTCAATCTTTCAGACCTATTTATTTTGTGAAGTGGTGCTTAACTTTTTACGTGTTGCTTGTGGTGGTGGTTGGGGAAAACATTTACTTTTCTACTTTTACAGTGTTGCATTGATGAACCATAGCTGTTGCCCAAATGTGATTGTGACTTACAAGGGAACCTTGGCTGAAGTCAGAGCTGTCAGGGAGATTGAGCCTGGAGAGGAGGTAAATGTGGTGTTTGAATGTGCTCTGTTCCCCTGCAGCCCAACAGGATTGATTCTGCTTCTCAGGGATCATTTCAGTTAGATGGCAATTTAAAAACGGGAAGGAAGGATCTCTTGCTTCTCAGAGAAAAGTAAGATGGTGCTTTGGAAAAATTAGGGTGGCTCTGGAGGACTGAAGGGATTTTTGGAGGCAGTACCCTATTTTTTGGTAATGGGAAGGGCACCTGCAGCAGTCACTGTGTATCTGCCAGCCTCTCTCTCAGTTTACCCATCTGTAAAATGAGGCTGAGTTTACTGATGTTTGGCTGGTGCTTTGAAATTCCAAGATCAAAGCAAATTATTACTGCTATAATAGTTCCCAGTATAATAGTAATGTGTTGAAATTGAAGCCAGAATAAACAGGGTAAATGGGTACAGATAAATCCTCTGACTTCTGTTTGGACAGAGATCGACAAAACATGGGACTTGGTCATATCACCTCAGTGGCATTTGCTGGGAAATCACAGAAGAACAAATCTGTGGTTTTAGGTGGAGTGAAACTGAACAGAGAGGAATAAAAATCTGTGAAATTGAGTAAGGCTCTAGGTTTACTTTGAAACTTTCTCCGTTAAATAATGAATTTGGCAGGGAGTTTTAAACAGTAGAGCTGCACTTGACTAAAAAAAAAAAAAACCCAAAAACCCAACCCAAAAGAAAACCAACAAAAAAAAGTTAAATAGAGCTGGGGAGAATGTTCAAATACCTGTAGGGAATGAAGATACTGAACATCCTCTCTGGGGATGGAGTTTGCACAGAATTTCAATGACTCGTTTGTAAATGTTTAGTTAATCAGCAAAGTTCATACTGATAAGCTCACATTTGATTTTTGATAACATCTGCTGTTTTCTGAGGTGTGTAATAGCAGCCTGGAAGAAAGATAGAGAGGTTATTTTTGTGGATTATACCTGATCCCCCTTGTGAACAAGATGAGTTTAGTTGCTGTAGCCAAGGATGAATGACTCAGGTGAGCAACTTCTTTTGGTACCATTTGGCAGCGATGATTTCTGTCTGTGATTTTGGCACTCACTGCTAATGCATTGTGGTAACCAACAGGACTGATTCTGGCTTCAGAATTTTGGTGTGGAATCCCAGACATTTTCAGCATTTTGGGGGAAGGTGTATCATTAGAGGTAGATGATGTTGCTCAACATCTTCTTCAGGTTGAATTCTGCCTTAGAAATTTCATCAGCTCTCCAGGACCTCACAGGTTTTGCACATTTGCTTCTCTGACCCTTCAGAATTTTCCAAACGTGAGCTGTGCCTGTGTGTGGTCGCTGTGCAGTCTCCCAGCCTGTGTCTCCATCTTCAGGCTCCGTGTAGCCATTGCAGGGCAACGTTTTAAAGTTTTTTTTTGCTGTGAATGTGGTTCCTGCATTGCACATGCTTTGAAAATATCGAAGGGAGGAGAGGAGTGTGAGGGAAAGTGGGAGATGACACACTCACACTTAAGAAGAAGGTGCACTGTATGCAATTACATGTAATTTTACATTTGAAGAAAAGAGAAACTTTAGGTATAAAGACTGAGCAAAGCATTTCAAATAACTGTAAATGAGGAAATGGAGCTAAAGCTGTTCCTTGGTCTGCAGAATGATCAACTGCACTGAGCATAGGACGTGTTTCTTGGGGGAGATCTCGTTTTAGAACACAGCATTAAAGCTACTTGCAGGGGTTCTTTTCTGAAGACCATTGAAATAGAGGAAAACTTAAGAATAGTGTATATGAAGGGCCTTTAAAATGTTCAAAAGCAGGTTTTCTTTGCTTTAAAATATTGCTGCTGAAGTAAATCTGATATTCATTCTCCTTGAACTGGGGCACTGGGCCTCTCTTCTTTTCAGAGATCTAAAGATCTTGTCCTAAGTTTCTAAAGCTACTAGTGACTGCTGTTGCCCCAATTTTTGTAGGTTTTCAGAAAGAAAAATTTGAGATTCCAGCCTCCAAAAAAACCAGGCCACTGTGATTTATCCTAGGCTGGATACCTGAAATCATTATTTTACTTCTGAAAAGGAAGCTTCTCTTTGTAGTCTGACAGGAGCCTGAGATTTATGCTGTAATAGTTTCCTTATCCACACCTGAATCTTGCTGTCCTGGGCGCAGGCCAGGGTGATATTTGAGGGAAATTCCATAACGAATAGGAAAGGAACATTTCTCTGTCAGGTTGCTTTCACAAGTGACAGCTCCTGGTGCTGCCAAGGGGCTTGGAATATGAGGCAGCAGGCAGGTGATGTGGCTGCAGGGGTCCACAAGCTGCAGGAATATGCAGTTGTCATACTGCACATATCAGAACAAGTGTAATAAATATGTTTAGTGATGCTGCTTCTCGCTGACTGTTGTTTGTTTGGGTTTTTTTACTATTTCTAGATTTTTAGCAGCTATATTGACCTGCTGTATCCCACAGAAGACAGAAATGACCGGTTAAGAGACTCCTATTTCTTTAGCTGTGATTGCAGGGAGTGCACTACAAAAGAAAAGGTAATGGAATTGGTGGGAAATGTGCTGCTGACTGTCAAGGCACCTACCCATGTCCTGAGATGTAATATCCTGTGTGGCTTAATTACATTTTGGAAAGTAGGATAATGGGGATGGGGGAAGGTGGGTGTGTTTTTCTGTCTTTCTGTCCAGAATGCTTTCTGATACTCATTCTTTCCACTGTAATCATGACACACCAGGAAATTTCCTGGTAGAGGCCTATTTAAAGCTGAGCTACAAAGCAAAGATGAAAACATTGTTAAAAGTAGATAATTATACTTTGTCTAAGATATTTGGCCAAACAAATTTAGCTTAAAACTTTTTTTTTTTTTTTTTTTTTAAATTTCATGCTTTCTGCCAACTCCTAGCAAGTAAATCTTGCTTGGGGCATTTCTGGGATAGAGTGCTGCTGCAATTCCTGGGTGGGACATTTCAGTCAATTCTAGGGGACATTGTATGGCATGTCTGGATGGTTTGGGGACACAGCAGCATCTGAGGAATGATCTTTTCTACAATAGCCTCATACTGGTCAGCTCAGGGACAGCGTCGTCCTGGGTCACAGCCCCTTGTGGTGTGCAGGCCAGAGCAATGGTAATTAAACAGGAGCTGGTGCCCCTCAAAGGACAAAGGGAGATCCAGACAGTGTTCCTGACTGCAAGGTGTTAGGTGTTTTAAAGAAAAGCACTTATTGAAGGGAAAAGGTACCCAAACTCAACAGGTACTGAGACAGCTGTGCCTGTGCAGCCATTTGGACCTCTTTCACTGAAGGCCCTTCAATAATTGAGCTCTTTGTAGCTTACCTGTCATTCCAGACAAGATCAGTGTGTCTGGCATAATCTAATCCTTAAGTTCCAGATAATTTTTTCCTCCCATTTTCACCAGGCTTCCTAAAGTGACTAGACAACCATTTCCTTCCCCTAAATGGTGTCAATTTTTTGTGATTTTTTTATTCCAGATAGTACCCAGTATTGTTGCTTGAGGCCCTTCTGTTGATACCATATAATTTCTGGTTTTCCCCACAGTTACCTTGATAATTTTGCCACTGAGTTTAATGAAGCCAGGATTTCATCTGTGATTTTCCTCAATGTGCTACTCTGGGAGTCCCCTGTCATTCAGCCTCCTTCAGTTTTGGAAGGAGTCCCTGTACCTCTCTCAGCTGGCAGATTAGATAATAAAATTAAAAAATCTTGCAACAATGTGAAGCTTAAACAGCAAAAAATTGTCTCTAGATTGTAGCTGGTTCCTCATGAAATAGTATATTAGATAGAGAGATAATAGAAAGTGGAGCTGTCCAGCAGAAATAACAAAATATATGGAAATGTGGTTTTGTCTATAGATCTGAAGGATCCTTTTCTGTATTTAAGATCATGTTGTTTTCCACAGAGATAACATTTGGTAGTCAGCCTAAGTTACTTGAGCTAATATAGCCTTAAAACTAAGCCTAAATTTATTGTAAATCCTAATCTTTTGGAAGCAGTGACATTTCTTATGTAAAACCACTTGCAACACAAAATCAAAAAGCTCTTCAATCTTTCAAAAGAAAGAGACTTCATGGAAGTAGAGAATGGCAGATGAACTGGAAGGCCAGGGGATCCTAGGACTTCTAGCCAAGGCTTTGGAGAAAAATTGCAGGTGTACATTCTACCTTTGTTTTTTCATTCTTTGAAGAGCTTAAGTTCACATCTGCGTCTTTTTATTAGAGAAATTTTGTATAGCAGGTGCACTTTTATTTGTAGGGCTTGGAACCTGCCTTTGTAAGGTCCATTGTGTTTCCTTCAGGATAAAGAGAAACTGGAAATCTGCAAGCTGAATGATCCTCCGTCAGCAGAGACAGTAAAGGACATGATCAAATATGCCAGGAACGTGATCGAGGAATTCAGGCGAGCCAAACACTACAAATATATCCTTTGTCTTACCCTGACTCCACTGGTGTGTGACCTAAAAATCTTGCCTGCTGGGCTTCAGAAGTGCATGCAGGAGAAATACTGTGACCAGGAGAAATTAAACTTGTCTCTGTGTTCTCTGTGGCTGAAGGCATTTTATCAGCTAATTGTATAATGAGAGGCCATGGAGTTATTGCATTCCTTGACTTCTTCCTACCCCCCAGTGAATTACTGGAGATCTGTGAACTCAGCCTGGACAAGATGGGTGCAGTGTTTGAGGACAGTAATGTTTATATGTTACATATGATGTACCAGGCCATGGGTGTGTGTCTTTACGTGCAGGACTGGGAAGGTGCGCTGTGTTACGGGCAAAAAATTATCAGACCCTACAGGTAAATGTGACATACTGTTTTTTTAATGCTCTAATTAATAATCTGAACAATTAAGACAAGTTTGTGCAGAGATCACTTCTCTTGGTATATATTGTATAAACATTCTACCCATGACACCACTACTCAGAAAGGAATATTTAAATGCCAGGACAGTGTCTGTTTGTTGGAATGTGGTCTGCAATATACAGCAGGACTGACTTTGAAATCCTTGCTTTGGGTTCTCAAAATAATTTTGTGCCACCTTGGGTGCAGTGATAATTCTGCTTAGCTGGATAAATGCTGGTTTCTAAAATACCATCATTTTCTACTAAGGAAGGGCTTCAGACTTCATCTGCAGCCAGTGTTTTGTACAAGGCAGTGGAGGCACAGCCTGTGTTGCTGTCAGCTCCCTGCAGTCTCCCAGTGCTCTCTGTCTGCAGCAGCCCGGTGTGCATGGCTGCAGGAGAGCAGAGCCGTGTCCCAGGGCTGGGGCCGAGCACCAGAGGGAGCTGGAGCCGAGCTCGGAGCTCCGGGTGTCCCATGTCCCTGATCCCGCTCCGAGCTCCGGGTGCCCCATGTCCCTGATCCCATTCCTGAGCTCCTGGTGCCCCATATCCCTGATCCCGCTGCTCTAGTGCTGGAGGCGTGGGAGAATGCCCAGGCTGAAGCCCTGCGTGGGGCAAGGCAGCTCACAGCCCCTGCAGGAGCTATGAACACTGTTTCTGATCACATTCCCTGTTTTTGCAGTAGGAGCCCGTTGGTGAGAGCCAGGCAGTTTCGCTGGCTGTGTCTGGTCCTGCCGTGAATCTCCCAGAGTCTCGTCTTGAGACGTGACTCTCTTGCCAGCTGGGGGGAGCGCAAGAAAAGCTCTCCCTTCGGAACAGATGCCAACATAAAGTCACAGATCACTTGGCAGAGAGCAGTGATACAAAGAAGGAGCCAACATTCCTCCCCCCCGGGGGCTCAGTACTATTTATCTTCCCTGGGACTTGCCCAGCTCCTCTGGCTCTGAGCCTGGCATTCCAGATCAGCTCTGCCGAGGCGGGCTGTGCCCCTCAGTGTGTGTGAGCACAGGCTGCCGTGTGTGCCCTGCACACTGCACAGGGCCCCTCGCTTTCCAGCCCACCAACCATTGTGGAGCACACAGAGCTGCTGCTGCGGGTGCAGGGTGGCTCCAAAAACTCATCACAATGCAGGCTCTCTCTGTAGCTGGCTAGATTAAAACTAGTGGCAGAAAGTCATTGCCATCTGACAGCTGTTCAGAGGCATATGGTAGTTTCAGTCCAATTCCCAGCTGACAGGCGTCCCCATCCCAGACACAGTTGGCACAGGCTCTTGGCAGTCACGGCAGAGGGGGTGAGCGCTGAATGGGCAGGGGCACCGAGAGGCAGCTTCCTGCCCCATGAGAGGGGACAAAACTGGGAAAACGCTATGAAACTGCTGAAGTTGATGAAGCTGAATTTCTTTCTCTCTTGCAGTAAACATTATCCCTCCTACTCGCTGAATGTTGCCTCCATGTGGCTGAAGTTAGGGAGACTGTACATGACGCTGAAGAACAGGACGGCTGGAGTTAAAGCCCTGAAAAGGGTATTTACTGCCTGGTTTCTCTATTAATAACACCAGCCATTGAAACACTGTGTGCCTCTCTGTCAGTGAGCTGGCGTGGTAGGAAATGCACCATGTGTTAATATATTTGGTCACGGGAATTTTGGCTCAGATTTGGTTTTTCTAGAGATGGAGGATAGGTCTGCTCTTGGGTGCCTTTTCACAGTGGGCTCATACTGCAGCAGCTGGAGTGAGAATTACGCTTAAACATTTGCTCTGAGTTCTTCACTGAGCTAGAGCTGCACTGGTGTAAATGAAGCAGAACCCTATCTTCCCCTCATTTGCTGGGTAAGGACAGGAAAAATGCTTGGCTCTTATAAAAGGCACATAGTGTTTCATTGAAGTCTGTGATTTCTATATCCAACTTAAACTAGGCATGCTTTTGATGGTTATTTGTTCTGGAACCAATCGATTTTTACATAGCTGAAGGGAATTCAATGCATCTGGTAATGCTGAAATTGGCAAATACAGCATTTTGCTTTTATGTTTTTCTTCACCCCTTTTTTTTAGTCTTTAGTTTTTTATTCTGCTATTTTTCATTAGTCTATACTATGTTTCTTGACTATTTTCCCCTATTGTTGTTGGACAAAAATTTATTTTAGTTTCTTAAGCATCAGTGACTATTGTAGCATATAATGACTCAGTGTGGAATGTCACAATGTATTTATTTCTTCTTGCTTTTTAGATGCTGGCAAGTTTTAGCCAGCAAATAACAGCACCAGCCAACCATGGTGAAAGATGCTAGAAGAATATATGCTCTAAAATTTAACTGTTGCCGAGTTTGAAGCTGGCATAGGTTTTCCTTCACTGTCATGTTAAACCCTTGAGTAGAAATGGGAATTGTGCCAGTAGGAGCATGGGATGAGGGGTAGGGAACTGTGAGGTAAATTTGTTGGCATAGTTAGTTTCCTTACACAAACATTTTCTAGTGACTCACTTCCAAAAGCTGTCTACAGGAACTGCCCAAAGTTATCCCCGCCTCTGATGTTTGGGATTTAGTGGAAAAGCAAACCCATTGTTCCCTGTCAGTTTGTGAGCAGCTCATCCAGAAGGTCCTCCTTTCTTTTTCAGGCAGGAGGAGGGGTGGGGTCATTTCTCGCTGCTGAGGTGGAACCAAAAGCCCTTGCTGTACTGGCTTAGCAAATACAAGAGCATAAAAGTTTCCCAAGGATGAAATGACCAAATGCTCAGAGGGCCAGGATACTGCAATTCCTTGCTCTGTCTTAGCTCCCTTGCTTTTTAACCATTCTCAGACTTACAGTGAACTTTCTTCTCAGTTCTGTCTAGTGTAGTCTTTTATCACTTCTTTTCTCAAGTGGAAATCTTGCCCTGGCACACACTCCAGGGCAGGAAAGGTGCCAGTCAGGGGTTTGGCTGCCTGCAGCATTCCCCCTCGGGCCTAGAGCAGGTGAAACACCAGGGAGTTGTTGGGCACAGCAGTGTCAGTCCGAATCTTACGGGAAATCACTTCTGCCTAAGTTGTTGCTTCCTTCCTAAAGCACTGGCAGCCCCTGGAAGGAGCAGAGGGTTTACAGACTCAAGTTTTAAATGCCTCAGCATTACTCCTGCACTAGGCCTGTATGTCTGGGACAGCTCAAGGAGAAATTGGTGGAGCAGAGCTGGCTCTGATACTGGCTAAGTCCTCTGCTGGAATATTACCCACCGCACTTGCAGTTTTCTGTCCTGGAGCTGGTGGCATTCAAAGTAGTTTTGTCAGGAATATAATTTTGAAAGGTGCTTTGGGCTCCTTTAAGATCAAAGATGTATTCTCTGAATATAAAACCTTTATTACTTAGTTCTGAATTTCATTTTATTTCCTACTGGGTTTATGACTACAAGGGGACAAAAAGTAGCTAGAGGTGTCAGACTGCTTCAAACCTCTAAAGAGAGTATTTATAGCCTGGTGTTATATATGAATCAATTGTGTGAATATTTTTTTTTTTTCTTTTCATAGGCAATTGCTATCATGGAAGTAGCACATGGGAAAGATCATCCATACATTTCAGAGATCAAAAAGGAATTAGAGGACCACTGAGCTTTTGAATCTATGCAATCCTTCAAACCTTTATTTAAAAAGCCTTGTTATGGAAACCTCCAGGAGTGCTTTGAAAAGCGGTAGAGTATGAACACAGTTCTGTCCTATAATTGGAATGACAAACACACGTAGGCCTAGCTTCCACACATCTACAATTGCCTTTTTTTTTTTTTTTTTTTTTTGTAAGGAAGCAGCCATGGTTTCTTAAAGGTTATGCCTTTTGATGGCTCATGTGCAGAAATGGCCATTTTTTTTCTTTAGGGGTGTTGGTGTGGATCTTATTTGTGTAAAGTAAATAAAGTGGTCTTGGCCCTTCTGGATGCCTGTTGTACACTTAAATGGGTGCAATAGTTTTGTGATACGTACTTTTGCCCAAATAGTTTTGCTTAATCTGACAAATTAGCAAAAGCCCTGCTTTTTCTGTTGTGGTTTGGTACCCATTTCCTTTTTTTCTTGCATCATTTTTATTTGCAGTGGCTTAACTGAAAGAAAGGGGAAATGGGTGAATTATGTACATTTCACAGCAATGACACCAATGTTCCCTCAGCCAGTTAATCTGCAGGTCCATCACTGCTCCTGGCAGGTGAGGATTCATCACACCAAAGACCTAGATAGAGCTCAATTTGTCTTGCACAGAAAATACTGACACCTGTGTTGGAGCTTGAAGGCTTGCACAAGACATTAACTATGCAACTTCTGGCTTTTTACACTCCTTTACAAGTTAAAGTGAGTTATTGCAGAGGAGAGCTCATATTTCCTTACAGCCATACCTTCACCTCCAGTGGATTACAACTATTGTAAATTATATGTTGGCAATTATTTTTAAGAGAGGGACAGGAACACTTTCTGAGGAACAAGTCCAGGACTTAGCTTTCTCTACCCATATACAAAACAGGAGGATTTTTTCCTCCTCCATTTAGAGCAATGGCAAGAGTGTGCTTTTAAGGATGGGGGAAAAAAGTGTAGCTATAAACTTCTAGCATCAAAATTGAAATATGGTGCACAATGAAATTACCTGCGTCTTTTCACAGCTTATAAAGTATGATGAGAAAGAACACATCACCCTTAAGAACTTCATTGTATTTTCTTTCTTGTAAGCACTGCTCTGAAAATAAAACTGCTAGAACAAGGGTTTGTCAGCTCATTTTGGTGAAATCTTTCATTGCTCTCCAGCCAGTAGTTGTTGCTGGAGTATATAAAACTGCACCAGATCTACAATTCCAGAAAGCCAAAGCCTATTAACTGCAGCCAAGCCTAGGAAGAGGGCACTAGCTGACTATTTTTATCCTAACTTTGTCTTGTCAAATAAACTCTTGTCCTGGGAAATAATACCTTTATTTCAGCAAGTCTGTCCAGAGCCCATACCACACTTCAACACCAAAGAATTGGATTAGCTGAACATGAGGCACCAGTGGGAGCCTTGCCCCTGTGAAACTTGGATTACTATTTGCAGAGGTTATTCAAAGCTCACTGTGGCCCTGGCTGTGCCTATCAGTTTAACATGGGAAACCAACTCAAGCAGTGTAGGTGCAAATTCAAAATCCTTAAGCTGATACAGAAAAGAACACAAACATTGTTTTCCTTGAAAAAAATGGTTTATTGTATACTGTGAATATGAGGGACAGCCTTACCAAAAAAACCTTAGTGACTGAAGACATTCTCACATTTGCAAAAGCATATAAGAAACTATTTACACAAAGGCAGTGAAAGGGGTAAAAAAATTATTGCAATCAATTAATGCTGATAGAACTTTTTATAATAAAAAGAGAAAGAAAAGAAACAGTGCAAAAATACTGTCAAAAGTAATCAGTTCTATACACAAGATAAAACTGACAAGCATAAGCTTATGTACTGATATGAATAATACATTAGAATATAAAATAGCATGCATAGATTTTTATTTTTTTAAAGGCTTTCAATAGCATAGAATAATTCTGCCATTCAGCCCTAACAGGAGGGGTTGAGGGCAGGAAGGGCACATAACTGATGTCTCATTTTTCTACAAAATGTGTACATACAATGAGGTGGTGAGATCAGATCACTGTTTTGGGCTAAACTGTCAGGTACAGAATTACAGAACAAATAAAAACAGAGGCATCACAATACTGCAGTAAAACAGGACAGTAAAATCCAGTGACATAAAACTTAAGCATGTTAACTCATTTACCACATTCCACACAATAACATATGGGAATATTACAGTCATCTGCATGTGTAAACTTTTTCCTTTGTAAAATAACAAAAGAAAGGTACTTTACTAGTGAGGAAAAAATGTTATTTGTATGCAGCAACCTCAACAGGATAAACATCCTATTACCAGTGTTTCTGGTACTACAGATTTGCTTTCTTTTAAAGACCAAGCAGAAGCAAGAAAATACTTTTATTTCACATACACAAAAAGGAAGTTCTCATGCATTCCATCTTTAACTCCATATAAGTTATGGAACTCACCAGCACAGGACATTGTGAAGGCCAGAGATGGCTTCTAAAGAGAAGGTAATGTGATTCAAGATGGATCCACCAGGAGGTACTACACAGGGAGCAGGATACAGCTTTGGCCTCAGGAAACCCATAAAGTTTGCTGCCAGGTGCACCAGAGGGGCTGAGCAACCTTTTCTAGACACATCCCTACTTCTTCCTCAACTACCAGCCACTGTCTAAGTCGGGAGTGCCCCACACCCTGACATGGAAATAGTTTGTGGGAAGCATTCCTTTTCTACCTGCCTAATCAAGGAACACTACCCCTGAAATACCTGGAACTGACTGTCCAGCCACTGAGAATCAGTGTAGTCAAGGTGCCACAACAATCAAGGTGGCAGTCCTTCCCTTGCTGTTACATAGTGCTGGAATTCTCCAGAGGAAGCTCCTATTTTCAGTGATTTCCAATTCACTCTCTGCAGGCAAAGTCCTGTTGTTAAAGCATGTGGGAGACTCTCAGTGAGAGTGCACAGAAAGCACAGGCAACAAAACTTCAAAGAAATGCCAGCCAAAAAACAGCTGAGAGAAGCCAATGGAACTGGAATCTGAGATACTCCAAAAACACTAAATTTATTTACTTAAAATATTTATATAAACACTGCTATTTTTTGACCTGTGCACTGTTTTGTTTCACAATCTAACAATAGTTTATTTATGGTTAATACCTCCATCTTGTTTTGCCCCATAGCCATCTGTTCCCTTCCTCAAATCCTCAATCCCTGGAAGCAGCTGCATGTAGAATGTCCTTCTCTCTAAAGACCTAGATGGCATCTAAAGCTCCCTTAGCACCAGATCCTACAAGAAAACCACTCTAGAAGGCTAGGAGTGAGTTGGGGGCAACTGCTTTTGGGGTTTGGACTTGCAGCCTTTCTCTTACTGCCATCAAAACCTAGCCCAAACACAATATGCCTTGAAGTAGACATCAGCAGCTTTATATTCATTTTGCAGAAGGGTGGTCAAAGGCTGTTTTCATGCAGTCCTTCCTCTCATGGTCAGCTCAGGAATTTGCTCCTGCAATGTGATGCAGGCCTTTATTACCTGCAGTGGCTGCCACCGTAGCATTTTTTTACCCACTAAGACAAGGAGCAAAATTTTACTCAGGCCTCCCTCAGTGATGCACAAGAGCTGCTACAGCAGAGATCAGCCTGATGATTCCACTTTCTGAGCACACAGAGCACAAACTGTTAGCGAGGCTGACAACAGCTAATTCAGTCATCATCTCCTCCCAGGAGACCAGTGGGAAGTCGGCTGTTGGAAATGCAGCATTGTCAGAGTTAGCTCTGCTGAATTTTCCCTACAGATTTCTGTGCTATATCCAAGTACAAGATTGCCCAGTAACATTTCTTTTAGAGTTGCTTGTGGACTACACAGACATAGCAGGTATTGGATCAAAAAATAATGTCCTGGCTGACATGACAAGCACTATTGAAGCACTTAGGTTGGAAAAGAATGACTAAGTCCATGTTTTGCCATTTGCATTTCTGTTTGTTTACAAGAAAGTAATTTTAAAACCCCCAGCTTTTGAAATCATGCAAATATTTAATAATATTTGTAGCTGAGGCAGGTGATTTAAATAAGTAGAACAGAAATGCACTTCAATATACTTCAAGGACTGTGCTGGCAATAGGTTGAGTAAGCTCTCAGAGATGTGTCTTTTGCCAGCTAAAATTAGTTTAGGGGATTTCTGATAAGGCTGAGCATTTAGGATCCCTGTATGCCTACACAGGAAAATGTTTGTGGGCACAAGCTTCATCTTTCCTCAGGTTGTGAAGGACAAGAGTGTCCCGTTCTTGGCTGTTTTTGGCCTGGAAAGGCTCAGGATGGCCTTGGGGCAGCCCGCGCTCCAAAGGACGAAAGGAGTCTTCAGGTTTTTTCGGTCTCCAGTGTTTATTAATTTTTTATCTACAATATCTTCTCTCAGCCCGACAGAGGTCCGCACAGCACGTCAGCCATGAGCACACTGCGTGCCCTCGGGGCGGTCAGTTATCTTTATACCCAAAACTATGTGTAAGATATTTACCTTTTCCCCCCAATACCTTTCACCCTTATTGACAAGTGCACTTTTAGTAAGAACCAATCTCAAAGTGCCACCACCACCACAGAAGATGGAAGACAAGAAGAAGAAGGAGGACAGGACACGCCCCAATTCCTCCATCTTGTCCCCCCTGTACCGAGATTCTAAACCCTGTGTTTCACACTATAACTAATCTATCTCTTCACCATTTATCCCCTGTGATTCTCCCATCCTCATACAGGTGATGTTTCCTGTGCTGGGTCAAAGTCCAACCACCAGACACTTCTGGCCACGTTCCAGGACCTCCGAGCCCCCCAAGGGTTGTCTCAGTGACCCTGCACATCAGGACTGCCGTGCTGAGATCCCACACAAGAGGTGCCTAAACAAGCCTTTGTAGGACCTGAAGCAAGTAGGACCTGAGCAGCTGATGTCCACCATCCTGCAGTGTGACTGATGGGGGACAGAAACAAGATCCCCAGAGCACTGAGCAGCACCACAGCTCAGCTGTCATCTCTCCCATCCCTGCTCTAACAATGGGAAGCATGAAATGCTCAGACCATAACTGTAACCAAAAAGCTGACGCCAGCACCTCAATACTATAGTTGGCAAGAGTTTAAATTAAAAAGGCAAAGGTTGCTAAATACAGATGAAGAGTGTATTGAAAGAAAAACAGACACAATGGATGCCCATGCCAGACTGCAAGGTGGGTGCTCTGGGAGAAGACTGCCTGTTTCAAAATTCTGTTCACTGATGAATCATTGTGAGATTTTCAATGCAGACTTTACTCCAAATGGAGGAAACTGGTCTCAAGCTACTGTCAGGCTTTGATGTTAAAAAACATGCAACACAACAAACAGCAACTCCAAACTGTCCTTTTCTCCTCAAGGGTTCTGCTGTTTAAAAGTCTGCAGGACAGAAACTTAACAGCACTGTTGCTTTAAGGCCCATGTGTTCATTCCTGCTATGACTAAGAAAATTGGATGCAAAATGCATTTTCCTGTCACTCCCTAAAGGTTAGGAAATACTGCCCAAGCAATTTTGGCCTGATAAAACTACAACAGGTTCAAAGTGAGAAGGTTCATTTTTTCCCTTACAAAACTGTACCATGTTTCAACCATAAAACATCAGCATGCTGAGGGCTGCTTGTAAGCTGGGGTGGAAAAGAACCTCTGAAGACATGCAACAGCCCAATTCACTTAGGATATTAACAGATCTAGTCAAGATAAAATCTAGCAGGGAAAAATACATTGAAGTCAGATGAAAGGAAAAAGTTTAAAATTACCATTCTTTGACAATGAAAAGGAAAAAGTGACTCACATTGGCCTCTATCTACCATCCCAGCCACATTAGGAGTTAATTGGAAATGACTGCTTACCACATGGCCACTTATTTGGCTCATTAATAGGCACTGACTTAATTTGGAAAGGATTTTTAGTGCCTTTTTCTAATTAATGTTTTTCTAAGACACCTATGATGCATCTTTGCATAAAAAAACATTTGCTTAATTTTCTTCCCTTCAAACACAGCTCTTCACACTCTCTTATGCAATAACTTTCCTGTGCTCATTCTAGCAGCAGAAACACACATTGCAGCCAAGAGCAGCTGAATAATAAGACACAGGAACAGATTCTTTTCCCTCCTGATTTTCTACTTCTCACATCCAAGTGGAGCAATGGGACTTGACAGCTCTGAGTTCAAACTTAATTCATCATTAGGAAATTATTCAAAAAGTTATAACGAGATAACTAATTTAATACACTTTGCTTCAAGGTTTATTCCTTGGCTTTTTTCCCAGATATAAAGCATCTCTCTGCAATTATCATGCAGATGCTGCTGAAAAGACTTTAAATGGTTGCTGCTAATTTAACAAGAGATATGTTGGCACTGGCAGAAAAAAAATTAGAGGAAAACTGAAGTTGACTGAAAGCTCAACTGATCCCTGAAAGGAACATGGTCAAGCTATTACAACAAAATAATTCCTCTCCATTTGTTGATGGTTTACAAGTCTTCACCAGACTTTGTCATCATCTTAGGCCTGTATTGCACAGCACCAATTCAACACAGTGCAGTTTTAAATACATTCAAGAAACATTCTGGTACAGAACCTTGCCTTAAGCTCCCCATTAATTTTAGTTCCTTTAGTGCTAATTAAGAGTGCTTGCAGGCTTAGGCCCTTGTACATTGACCAGGGTTTGGAGGTGGGGATGCAACAGAAAAGCAACAGTAGGATTAAAATATTAGAAGCATCTGGGGAAGGGATACCAAGAAAGGTGATTTCACTACAACAAAGTAACTGCATTGTGTCACATGCCCTGAGAGGCTGTGAAATCGTCACCCTTGAGAATTCTGAAACTGGATGTTACCCTGCACGAGCCTATCCAAGTTTCAAGTCAGCAGTGGGGTGAGTGTGGCTGGGTCAGAGACCTCCAAGGCACCTCTCTAGCCTGACTCCTTCTCTAACCACCCAACAATAGTTCACACATGAAGACTAAGGCAACTGGGGATGCCTAATTTAAATGAGATTCCTTGCCTGCAGAGGGTGAGCCTCAAGGCAATAACACTTTCAGTGTAATTTGTGAGAAGGTGCTTGATTTGGCTTTTTATCCAGATGTGTTTGGTTGAAAATGCTCTGCTGTTAAACTCTCAGATCACCAGAGTTATTGGAAAGAGTCTTTCACTGACTTCAGCCTGCTGGAGGTCACTGCACTTCACCCTACATTGCTTCTTATGGTTCCCTTCAAGGGTTGCACACAGCCAGCAAAAAGCTTCCTTAAAAAGATACAATATTGATTTTTTTCAAGGACTAATCTAAAACCATAATTCTTGTGGAATTTGAAGAGTTCAGCACCCAAAACTCTCTGTCCTCACAATGTCCTGTGCTCAAGCCCTCTGTAACATGCCCGGCTGCATGTGCAGAGCTCGGGTCTCCAAGCTGTGCACCCTCAGCTTCCACTCACACATAGCTGACATCTAGCAGGTCTTGCTTTCACCAGAGAAGCCACACACTGGGTCCAGAAGGTCCTTACATGAAAAAAAGCCCACTGCCAAATAACTGTGGGTTTCAGAAGCCGTGTAGGAAAATAAAAGCCAGCAAACTACCTTTACAAAGGATTGCTTTCCTTACAGACATGTTACAATGCAGACCAGTCATGTCAAATGTGGTTCACTTTCAAGGTCACTATAAGTTTTATGAGTTATGAAAGTAATTCAAAAGTTATTCCAAGAAAAATAAATTATATCTTGTATAAAATAATCCATGGGAGACTAGTAAAGAACCATCATTCCTTACTTTCAAGACAACTTTAAAAAGTGCAATATATGCACACAGTGTTGTCAAGGCAGTTCATCAGTAAGGTTCAGTCAGATCCACAATGCTGGGTCTGGGATGTTTGAAAAGATTAAATAAGTCTCGAGTTTTGCAGGAATTGTATGAGCACTTGGTAGACAAATTTGTACTGGGCTATGGTCTGGATCATAAACACCCTCTGCTCCCGCAGGTGTCTCAGCATCACAGGAACGTCCATTTTCTGTAAAGCAAAGGGGGAAAAGAAGGCAGAAGAATGTGTATTCATTAAATCAAACAATCACAAATATCAGTTATTTGACACAGGGAAATATACTATAGTTATAGAAGACAAAGTTTCTGTGGACAAAATTAAATGTGCAGGCAAAGATACAGATCCTTTCACTGAAGGGCAAGGGAACTCATTGCCACCAAGAGATCCAGAAACTCCAACATCTGGTCTGCCACAGCGAAATGTATGTTAGCAAATAATGCTCCAGGAGAAATAGGTCTGTGAAGTGAAAGAAGGACCCAATATCCACAATGTGTGTTTTGCACACTCCAGGCCAGCATCAGTTTGTTGCCATCTACTGAATATCCACTGAGACATATTAAGGTATAGTCCAGCTTCATTTCACCCAAAAGAAACTCACATGTGTGCCCTGAAAGTGCTCTGCAGCAGGAAGTAAAGTCCAGTAAGTAGGCACAGATAAGGAAATCCACTGGGATGGCACAGCATTAAGCAGGCACAGGCAGCCTATAATGGTCTGAACTCAAAACCAAATGTGAAACAGAGGCCCATGAGCTGAAGCGTTAGAAATCACTGCACATTTCATTAGGATGCTATCATCAGATTTCTGGCATTTAGGAAGCCAAAAACCTATGATGCTGTTGTGTTTTATCTGTTACAACAGGTACACAAGGAGCTATTGAGAAGTTGTTGAGCCATGAAGCTCAGCCTGGCAGGCTCAAATTCAAGCAGCGTGTAATGTGAGCCAAGCTGAGGAACACAAACCTTCTATGGCAGCAGCAAACATGAGCACTGAGTTTTGGGGAAGTTCTTAAGCAAGTCAAGATATAAAACTGAAGGCAACATAAACTGCACTTTGTAATGCCTGCTTGCAGAAACACCAAGAGGAGCTTAGCAAGTCTTTTGACTGAGATTGCTGCTAAGCCTTGGAGGCCCAACTGAGCATGGAATCTGCTTCCAGGCACATCTGAAGTTTCCTGGAAAGTTTAAAATAAAAGTCACGCTGCATATCCATTTCTGTCCATGTATATAAAACTCAGAATCTCCATTCCATGTAAACAAGTATTAACTCATAGGCTATCACTTTCTGAAAACAAGGCCAAATATTCTGCCACATACCCCAACAAGCTGTTATAAAAGGACATCTCTAGAGAGTCAACGAGTGTAAATATTTGAGATGAGTAATGTCATATTATTATCAAACAGGTGCAAAGAAAAATGGAAGCCTTTCCAGTTAACTTGGCTGACTTGGAGAAGGCCTCCCTATGGACTCAGATGCTCATGAAATGGTCTTTGCTGAGCAGAGTCATGTGGAACCTGATCTCACCTGAACAACTATAACAAAAATGCAGGCCAGCCTTGACCTGCACATAATGTTCTTCTCTCAGGTTTTCATTAGCTTTTAGTGGGCACACAGTGTTCCTGCACCTCCTCAAAATGGAGATGGCTTTGCCTTATCTCAGAAATGGAAGAAAACCACATCCTGCCTATTTAGTCTCACTATTTATAGCCAGCTTAGTATTTTCTGATTCCAGGTAAGGAGAATCCCTAAATTCACCTTCATTACCATGTACATGTAAAAAAAAAAATAGAAAAAAAATACACCTAATCCTTTGCTAAGCTGGGACTTGCAAGCAGAACTAAAATGCTCCTTATTTCTGCCTCCCAAACCAAAGCTCTCTCATGTGAAAGCATGCTGCAGATGCACTCATGAGTTAATGTCCCAGTGCCAAGTCTGGACTAAAAGTTGATAGAGCAGGTTCTCAATTACTTTCTCGTACTATGTGTCTACAGCAGTAAGGATGTAATGATGTGACATTTACTTGCCATGCAGCAGTTACTGAAACTCTATCCCTGCAATGAGATACAGCTTTAGACTCAAGCAGCCATTGCCCAGAAGCCACAGTGACTGAAGCTGGACAGAATTTGATTAAACATGGCTTTTTACCTGAACCTGAAACCTCAGGCTCAAGAGTTCTAGTTTCTGTTTCAGCACTGCTGCAGGCTTTCCAAAATGCTCTTCTTCAAAATTTTCAAACTCCCTCATGATTTTTCTTCACTGCTAAAATGTTAATGCATTTTACTTGCTAAGACTCTTCTGTGAAAACCAGTTCCTAAGACTAAAACATTTTAAGTGAGAATTAATTTTATTTCAGGAAAAAAACCCCAACAAATTCAGTAAAAAATAAACAAATTAAAAGGAAGTCCTCTGTGCAAAATCTGCCACAAAATGAAAACAAACTGTCAAAATTTTAACCTTTTTTAAAATTAGGTTTTAACAAACCAAAAACATTAACTTGGTACAATCTAGAGAAACAAGGCCCTTAATAAAAATTGTATTTATTGTTAATGATGATTTCCATTATTAATCAAGACAAAAGAATGCTTTAATTAAGGGACATCAGAGAAATCCCTTATTATTGAGCACTACCATCAGGGCCTAGTGAAGTTGATGAAAGCTCAAATGAATGATGCCAAGGCTCACCCCCAAGCTTAGATGTTGAGGTGCCAAAGCTACTCTTGGCCCAAGGGGTGGCTTCTGTAAACCACAGATTCACTTCTGTAAACAGAGGTGGCCAGACCCTGTTGCACAGCCCTTAGAGTTGCTTCTGTGCACATGCAGAGGGTGCTGTAAAGCTACACTGATGCTGACAAATAATCCAGCATGGCTCTTTTAACTCTCCAGCTTTCCTCTGCAGAGGAAAGCAGAAATTTTGTGGCTGCCATGTGAACAACAGAAGTAGTCACTTCCATGTGTCAGTGCATAAGGAAAAGTCAAGCAGGGTCAAGAGCTGGAGCCATTGTCCCACTCTGGAGCAGCTACTGAGCAGCAGTCAGCACTGGGAGGCTGCTGGATTCCCAAAGCACATCCCCATGGGCCCTTTCTTGGCCAGGATACTTCCTCTTTTCCCTTTCTCCCCCAAATACAGAGCCAAAGAACTAAGTGTCACCTGTGACACATATCTACAGGACAGCTTCACCTTCAGTGAGGCCCAAGCAGAGCTGGAGATTTGTCCCAGCTGATCTGAGTCCAGGATCTGTGGGGGTCTTGTAACTCCAGAATGATGAGCTGCTGGAGTTCTCAGTCTTTCCTGAACTCACCCAATGGCTAATTATTGGAAGGGGCAGATGATACATGTCTGTTTGTCACTCTTGCTGCATTCTTATCTCTACAAGCAGTTTTGGTCTTTGAGCATTTTCTTTGGCAAGAGAAACCCCCGGTTTCCACAGTTGTCATGCAAAGTGTGTGGCACACTGTTAGTCAAGATGTGATGTTCCTCCTAGACAGTTTCCCAGTGACAGATGAAAATTAGGTTGTTACCTATGGCTGCTCTACTGGGGCACTTGTTCCTAACTCCAGTCTGTGTTACTCATAATGCTGGCTGCAACCCTAAAGCCCTATCCCCCACAGGAATACATAAATACACTTATTCTTTAAACACAGCTAAATTTCATTCCAGGTGAGATTACAAGAGAGAGGAAGGAGCCCAAGGAGAGAATTTAGAGAGCAGAAAACTTCAGTTAAGAGCAAGGACATTATTCTCTAGCCTCTCTCAGGTAGTGCTCATAAACACACTGTATTTAATTAAATACAGATATGGATTAGACTAAATTCTCAAAAGAGCAAAGAAGGCCCTAATTTTGAACATATTAAAATAATAAAAAAATAATAGCAACTATACAGAAAACTACAGCAAGTAACCTGCCATGGGGAATCTTTGCCCATCACATTTAAGATCCTTGTCCTGCTCACAGAGGTAACAGAAAGAAATCGCTTCAATGCCTTTTAATTTCAACCTGAGGAATGCAGCCAGTTAGCCAAGGGATAAGCTGGGGGCTTGCAAAGGAAGCTGACTTACCTCATTATGCTCCAAGCAGCCAATCATGAGCTCTGTGAGGATGACCACGCCAGTCCTGCCCACGCCTGCACTGCAGTGCACCACGATGGGAGGGTTGCAGGTGTTGCTGCTGTCCAGCACGCTGTTGGTGTGCCGACGCACTGACTGGATCTCCTCCAGGTAAGCTGCAAAGGGAAAAGCAGGCAAGGCTGCAAACATCTACATCTCTACATGGCAAAATTAGGAGGGGAGGGGGAAAGAGTGTGGAAAAGTTATTCTCTGTCAAAGTGGCAATAACTTACGTTTTTTACAACATAATAATTATCTTGGCCAGGGTGCACTGAGCAGCACTGCATCCAGCTGGGTGTCAATTATTACTTGGGAGTCTGCTCGTTTAAATTAAATAGTTCTTTTAAAAAATTAAATTCTGTTTTCCCCCTTGCAAATCTCCAGGTCCCCTAAGCAGATGATTCTAGACGTTACTTACAGCAATTCCTGCTATTAACAGGCTGGGATCAAAACAACAGCTAAGTCCCATTGAAAGTACTGCCTGTCAAAGCCAGTATCACAGGGGAAGCAAGCATCCATCTGCCTTGTTTCCTGTCTTCCTTCTCCCTTCTAGACTCTGACAGAACCTCCCCCCCCCTCCCTCTCTGCTCAGGGTTTGTTTCTCAATAGCTACAAGCCCTTCTGGGAGATCACTGCTTTGTTTTCCCTGAAGCCATTTGTAGAAAGCTGGGGGGCTCAGGAACAGCTGCCTTGTGTGGCTGTCCCAGCATCATTCAATACATCCTGCTGTCACACCGTGCTGAGAACCTCACATGCTGAAAGCTCACTTGGCTTCCCAGCACTCCAAGTGGGAAGTGAGACCTGAGCCGAGCTCCCCTGCTCTGGCCCTTGGTGTCAGGGCACTGCAGCCCCAGCTGTCCTCTCCCCACAGGCAGGATGGGGCTGGAGGCCTACCAACACCAGAAAAGCTGCATTTCAGTGCACACAGGGAAATGGGACTCTAAATGGTGGCAAACAATGGGAGAGAGGAAATGGGGACAATCAGGTTCCAATTACTGCCATGCCCAAACACAGCTACAGGGTATGAGAAACAAAGTGAAAAACAAAGTATGAAACAAATGAGGAATTGGGCAATAGCTTTTTCTTGAAGACAGATTCCCTGGTACTCCTTTGCTGAAGTTGAAATTTTCTATTTTTTGTCTTGGTGACAGATCTGGGGAAAGGAAGATGCACTATTAAATGCAGTGTGTGCCATGCAAAGGAGAATGCATCACTAAAGGACTGGAGCTGTGGCAAGACTGAAGAGGAACTAATGGATCTTCCTGAGAGAGGACTTAGCTGCCACAGAGTGACACTGCAGCTGCAAAGCTTTCAGGAACTAAGGTGACAGGCATCTCCAACACATCAGTACACCATGTACAGACTCCTTCAGTGGTAATTTAAAGATTTCTGCATCATTCCCCACTGCACTGCCAGAGATGTGTCTGAAGTTAAATAATGGTTGAATTCCTATTACTTAATATGGGAGTGCTTATTACTTGGTAAGAATCAGGAAGTGTTATTGACACATTGCAGATGAATATAATTGCTGTATTTTCAGAAAAGCACAAGCCAGGACCATATGTAACTGGGGAGGCCCTTGAGCATTGCCTGGGTACCTGTGGTCACAAGGGTGGAACTGCATGTGGGATAGGGCCCTCTGCTCTTTTGCAAAAGTAAAACTGGAGGTGATGCACCTTATTTCAATAGCAACTGATCCTCTCACCCAGACCTTTCTAATCATGTTTGTGTACAGTCTGTTATGCCCTGCATTCATTAAGTAGTTGGGAAATGGCAGTAAGTTGCACCAATAGATCAGCCAACTGAAGCACCCTATTAATTAAAATTTCCTGAGTTTTTGGCACTGCTGCTGCCTTGGATTTTTCCTCCTGCTAATCACTTTAGCTCCTACCTCTGGAATACCACCTTTTTTTTTTCCTCCAAATTGCAGAAAAGTATAACCTAGTTGAGGCCTGTGTACACCACAGCAAGCACCTGATACCAGTCCCAGCTGTAACTAGGTACAGTGAACTGAATCCAGTGTGAGCAATCTTTTTCTTGATTTATCATGCAAAATAAAGGAATCTTACATAAAAAGCCTTGGACTTCTTCTGGACACCCATGGTCTGGCCAGTCAGTATACTGCAAATGCCACACTGTCCTCTCCTGCCCAGAGAGAAGATGCTTGACCTTCAGACCAGTAGTTGCAAAGCAGCCAGAGTCCGTGCGGAACTTGGTTGTCACCTTGAACTTCCCGTAGGTGGCTGAGCTGTGCTTAGAGCCCAGCTTAGGCCAGTAGCGATGGCTCTTACTTCTTCCTCCCTCCTTGATAACAAAACAAGACAAAAAGCCATTAGTATCTGCAATTCTCTACAAACAAAGGGTACAAATCTCTCTGGATAAGCCAAGTATTCTTATTTTAAAGCATTGGAAGAGTAAGGAGCATCCCACAAAGTTAAGAAAATACCCATTAAAACTTAAACCTCTCAGCCATGTAGTGTTTTTAAGCGTAAAACTACTTGAATACTCTTGTCTCGTGACAGAAGACAGCTACTGCCTAAAACACCTTGGTAAATATTCTCCTCCTGGGGAAGACTCTCCTCTAATTAGAAGGAGAATCTCTTCAGCAGCTTGTAAGTGTCTGTTCTTGATCGGCCTTGGGAACTGGACAGTGACTTGATGTGGTCTGCAGCTCCCTGTGTTTGCTGAAAGCAGCCAGGCACGGAGCCGAATGCGGTGTTAGTTAACAACATGTGCCAGTTTTTACAACATAGCACATAGTTCTTGGACTACAATAGGAATAACTGCTTTGCTTGGCATAAGAATAAAAACTTGTGGGGTGCTTTTATTTGGGGGTTTTTGCCTTTGTTTTATGGACACTTCTATGGAAACAACAGCTTCTGGTCTCTTTTCAGCTGATAAGAGTGATGGTATACAGAATTGGCTTTGGATGGTGTGGAAATCTCTGTCATTTTAACCAGGAGCAAGTTCAGTGCTCTCACATTCCAATGGAAACATCTTTGTTTGGCTTGGCCCAAGCAGAGGGAAGGAGGGCTCCTGCTTGTTTCACGTCAGCTTTTGCCAAACTGAGTGTCAGGAAGTTGGGAAGTATAGTATGAGAGCAGTGCAGGCATATGTTCAAACAGAGCCAGAGGAAAAGGGGATGTTGATAGGAAAAACAGGTTACTGGAGTGGGAAGTGATGATAACAGGAGATTGGCTCACATCAGAAAGAACTATTCTGTGATTTCACATACCTCCTCAGCTGTGACCATGGCTATAACATTCACCCCCTGTTCCCACACCATCTGCCAGAAGTCATGGCATGTGTGTGGCAGGGGCCCTTGGGTAGCAATGTAGTGCCACTCCTCTCCACCTACAGTCACCTGGGAGAAGGCAAAAAGAAACAACCAGTCAGTGCCTGAGTTCTCAGCAGTGTCTGTGCCAGAACTCCCTTTTAAACAAAAGGAACTACACTGAAATCTTTGTTCTTCTGCTTTTGGTCAAAAATTTGAGCAAAAATCATCCTTTTGATAAGAGCAAATCTGACAAAACATAACCTTCAGTGCTTCCATGTCCTGTCTTGATAACCATAACCATAAAGCTTTGGTCTAAATGCCCTCTTTCTTGCTCTTGCATCTGGATCATACAGGCAAAAAAAACCCCAATAACCAACTAAATAAAAAATCCATGGATTTTACTCACCTTGGGTTTTTCAGTTCAGAACCTGAAAACTACCATAGAGTAAATGCAGCACATCAAATGGCTTTCAAACACCATGAGAAACTTAAAATTACCCAAAGCTGTAGCCATGTAAATCTATTTCCCAATACACAACGGGTTTACCAACCACATCTTACAGAAGTATTTGTGTATTTGCATGACAGGTAATGAAATTCTTTTCAAAGCATTAACATACAGATTTACAGACTGTAAATTCTGAGTTGCCCTGAACAGAGCCAGCATTACCTTGCAGTTAGCCAGTATAAAACACTGCTTCATTTAACTGACAGAGGCAGTTAAAAAAAAATCACTTGTGTATTAAAAAATTGTAATTTTATGACACATAATTTGCTGTACATCAGAAAAAAGCTTAGGGAATCTTTTTTCAAACATTTTAGGTAAAAAACAAAGTGTTTTTAGAACTACTACATATCATTTCAAAAATATGCTTACCAGAAGAACCAGCCAAACTCATTATTTGGAAAGTTGAAATATTTTTCCTTCTCAGGCTAAGGCCTCCTAATTCTGCTTATTAGCCCAGAGCCACTTCTCCCAAAGTTATAAATCCCAGAGAAGAAGATTTACAACAAAAATGCTGACACATCCATAAATATCAATGTACTGGCAGACAACGCTACAAGGAACAATCAATAACTCTGACAGGTTCAACCACATACTGTGTTTGAGGTACAAGCCTTTGAATACATTCTCAGAAATAAAATCAATTTATTTATTTATTAGTCAAACAACTGTTTATTAATCTGAGATGCTTGGGAGTTTACACCTGTAAATAACATTGGTTTTGTATAACAAGTTTCTCACTGCACTGAAAACTGTTTGACCCTGTACAACAGCTCCTTTTCTTTATTTCATACTATGCAGCATTTTATTTTTTTGAACAATGGTTAAAAATGGCAAGACCAAGGCTGGTAGACTTTTTAAGTTCTTGTACTAGAGGAGAATTAATACAGACTGCACAGCCCCAAGGAGCATCCTGCACCTGGACTGATGGTCTACAGCCATGAATGCTGGTACAGCCCTACTGAGCTCTTTAAGTCAATAGTGACCTGACACAGTCAGTCTGATGAAGTGCTCTGAAGAACCTTTGTGCTTAATCTTCATAAATTTAATAACAATTTTTCTCTTTGGTATAGATGATGATCTTTGTATCTTAACAGCAATGATGCATGGTAAATCTGCAGAGAATTATTGTTAAACTGTGGGGCTTGCAGACCAAGCAGTGGGAGCTGGAATCCTCCAGGCATGGACCTTATCAGGATGACAGAGGAGTTTTCTTTGTCTACTGACTCCTGGTCCAAGCCTCCTGGCACATGATATGAAAGGCCCATAAATAGTCTGAAGGCAATGGGATGCCTGGAATGTTTACTGCATTCTAATGCCCTAACTGCAGGAAATTAAAAATTAAATATTGGGCTGAAAACAGGCACACACTGTGCTGCTGAGGTAAATTTCACAGATGCAATTTCACCTTCGAAGCAAAAGCACATCTGCTTGGCTTCTGAAAGCGCTGCTCCAAGCGCAGGAGGGAAACCCTGCCAAGGCCCTGTGGCTGTCAGGCACCAAAGCACTGCTGCCTGGTCCTGGGTGCTCCAAGATGTGGCTGTGTCCAACAGCGACACACAAGAGAAAATGTGGGCTCAAAGCTAGCCAGGGAAAATAGCATCCTTTAGGAATATCTTCTTTTTCTCCACCTACTTTGTAGGTAGAAAATTTGGGGTTCAGAAATTCATCATCATAGCAATGTCTGATTATGCAAAAACTCAGTATCTGGTTCCTACCAGACTATGAAGAGAAGTGACAAACTGCCAGGATCCTGGTTCAGAAATTATTCAGATAAAATTTCAGATTTGAATCACCAGAATTTAACACAGTAAATCACAGCCTAGGCCAGCAAGTCTCTTTAAACTTTTAAAAGGCTTTTACTCAAGGAAAATATTAATTTAACAGGATGTTTTATTCATTATTTTTTAATTATTTCTTTTTAATTTGGATTTTGACAATGAGAAAATGAAGAAAACAATCTCTAACAACAATATCTGTCATCTGATGCAGAGGATTTCTGTTACTTCTGATACAGAGGATTTCTGTTACTTCTCTCAGGGTACAGTAAAAGCCAACAGAGGGCTTTGCAAATACTGCTAGAAGCTTAAAGAAAACCAACCATCTGCAGTCACTGGAGCATAGTTCACTGTTAAAACTGGCCATGCTTGTAAAAACAGTCAGGTTGTATCTTTAATTATTTCTACACTGAATTAACAAGAAATCTGAAGTTTCTTGTCAAAACATAATTTGAAACATGAAGTTCAATGCAGTTACCAGTCAGAGATGCAGGGACCTTGTTGGTAAGGTCAGTATGGTCACCATACCTTAAAACATTGCTTTATCACACTGCAGGTACTGGGGCTGATCTAATGCATTCTCATGAAGGTTGAGAAACATGGCACCTCTTTCTACACTAACCAGTAGAGTCATTCCACAACAAGCTGGCACAGGTGGGCACAAAAAAGCCAGGATGCCTCTCTAAAATAACTTCCCAGTCTCCAGCAGTTAAATCAACTTATGCAGGTCAGTTGATAGGAGACTTTAGAGATGCCCACGGTGACACAAAAAGGCATAACAATGCACCCTAAACCTTTCCAGAAACTCCTGAGATACAGAAGATGCTGCTGTGCAGCCAGAAATGCAAACAAAGCTTTAGCACACCTTCATTTGGCAAGCAAATCTCAAGCAAGCCTTCACCTTTATGTGTGAAGCATTGATGTAGCCTGTGTTGTTCTCTTTGGTCGGCACCAGCTCCACGCGGTTCTCCTCGTAAGGAACGACCTCCCTGATGCGGTTGCGCTCCGTGTTCTCAGGCAGGGCAGCAGTGGTGAAGATCCCATCTGCCTTCTTCTTTGGAATCTGCTCGTATTCTGTAAACACCATCCCCTCCTCCAGCTTCCTCCTCAGGATTTTGCACTAGGATTTAACAGAAAGGAGCATCGACCCATTAATGCTTCTGGGAGCAACATTCACCGCTAGAGCCATCCATCCATTCTTTGAATTCCAATACACAGCCATAGCATTCTCTCACTCACTCCTCCTGCAGATATCTGAGGAAATATGACACACTTATTTCTACCAAGTGAAACCAATGGCAAATTTTTACAGTTTTACGTTCCACCTCCACATTTTTGAAGACTGATAGCATAAAAGGCAAACCTGTGCTAAATAATCTTGGTTCAGTAAGAATTTCAGTATGAATATACGATTTCAACAAAATAGATATTTAAATTTTTTTCCATGAAGAATATCATACTACAAGAAGTGTGACGTGGCCCACATTTTCAAAATACTGCCTAACTCACAAGGATGCAATGCCTGTGGTTGAACACAATCCCACATACAGACAAGGTGGAGGTGAAATTCTGCTCCCTGGGTGCCAGAAAACACAAGGCTGCAAATTTCTATCCAGAAAACCAGAAAGGTTCTTTGCAAATTTGCTTCTCAAATCTTAAGAGCAGCAACTGTTTTTAATATCTGAAATTCCATACACACACACACCCATGTGTGCAAACATCAGGAGGCAAACAACTTCATTTTTTAAAATTTAATCCCATTAGAGACATTAACCAAAATCCTTATCAGTATCAGAACATGAAAGACAGTTTCTGTGGGTGAGCACTGCAGAACTTTGCCCGATCAAGTGAAAAATGTGCAAAGTGTTAGATTTACAGATTGATCTTGTATGACATTGTACAGTCAGGTGAAACACAACAGACTCCATTTTCACTGACTTCACTAAATGCTCAAGACATTTGATTCTTTGTCTGCATTCAAAGACATACAGTATTAGCCACAGACCTTTTGCATTAATGGCTCTGAAAACTTGTAAGAGAAATTTGTTTTTCACATTTTAAATCAGATTTTAGTATTGTAGATACTTCATGCTGCTGGGAACAAAGAGAACAAGCCACATTTCGTGAGGCTCCATCTTACCCTCTCATCCATTGGCACCTTGGTGACTTCATCCTGGCTGTCCTCCGGCACTGGAACCCTAGCAACTGAGAGTCCGTTCAGTGCTGCCAACATCAAGGGCCTCTTCTGGGCCTCCAGGCCTGCCATCTTCTGCTTTTCTAGATTCTTTTGGCAAGAAAAGGCACGTTTTCATCTCTGTGTGATTATTTATAATGCCAGTAAAATGCTGGAATGTTTTTTTAATCTCCAAAATCTGCAACTCTCTGGCCAAGGAATGCAGATGATCACCATTAGCATCGTAAATTCAAATACAACCTCTATTCTTCCTGTTATTCCTCAAAGGCCTGCTCCTACATGAGCACAGAATTTTAATTTCAAAGAAGCAATCCCAGCATGTAATACATTTACATGCCATCAAAAGACACACAAATACAATCTCAAGCATTTTCCTGCAGACATTTTGCTGGATGCAGGACACACAAAGCATCACCCTGTTACGTTAAAGTAGCACTACCAAAGCCAAGATACCTGGGGCATCTTTTGAAAAGCAATAATTTCAATCTATAACAACAAACACTAAAGCACAGGCCATTGTTGCTCTTCTGTGATGATAATGCCTAAAATGAGAAGTCTTCTGATGCACTTAGTTTTTATGGTGATTCAAACAGCACCCATGATAAATTCTGCACTAAAAACTGAGCTTGCATGTCCCAGAAACTGAACATAATAGCAGCCAGGGAGGGATATTATTTATCATATTCATGAATCATATTATGGTATGACATGGAGAACCAGAGAATGAATTTTAAATTCATCCTGCTGCCTCCTCCTTATGCCACTGGGAGTTGAAGCATCAAAAAAGACAGAGCATCCCCAGAAGTGCCCAAATTAGGAATATTTTATTCCATTTCCTTAACAGCTCTTTCTGTTGGCTTTGGAAGGAGGAATAAGCAGAAGGGGTGCCTGGTTCTCAGCACACATATGGAAGCTGTGGTCACCAGATGAGCCAAGCTCAGCTCCTAGAAACACATGATGGAACCTGAATGCCCTCAGACATATGCATATGCCTTGACTTCTAAAAAGCTTGTGAGCTTTTTCCTCACTACTGGGTTCCTCCAGAGCACTAAGCAAAGAAACAAACATCCAAACCCACTCTGGCTTCTTTTTATACTTTGTGAAAGCAGGAAAATGCAAGTATTTCCCCTTTGTTTGGGAACTTTATTAATTTTTACTACTTCAAAGGTGAAACAGAAGAAAGTCTGTGCTCATCAAGGTCACTAAATTACCATTAATATCACACTTGATTCCTGTGGCAAAAGGAATGTCAACACATGTCAAGGTTCCTGATCTAGGCTGAAACCACCTTAAAAGCTTAATGCCGAGGCTGCCCCTTTACTTCCCTTTTGTCCTTTTTACTTTCTATTTTACATTTAGGAGTTGTCAAGGGCTAAACTCAGTCTCCATATTGCAATTTAGTAGCTCAGGTTGTATTGCTAACAGTTACATCAGCATAAGGATTCCCAATGGACAAGAACAGCAATGGATATGTTTAGAAAATGTCTTTGAATACACAGTAGTATTTAAATATAGCGAGTTATTGATCTAGTAAACTACAAACTCTTTTCTGCTTTGGGCCATTTAGGTGCTTTACTGATTTGTTTCAGGAATTGTTTTGTTTCAGACTTCGGTGCTGAAAATGAGAGCTACAGCATATACTTGAGTTTCTGTGACTGCAGTTGCACTGCTTACAGCACTACACCAGGTATATGTGTAGGTCACTAAGGGAAAAGCACCCCTCATGTTGCTGTCATTGCCTTGAAATAGTTCTTATTTTAAATTTGGTGCAAGTTTAACAGAGCCCTACTTCTCATACTTGAGTGCACTTTTAACAAAATAAACAATCCAGATGCTCAACCACACAGCCTCTACATCTGCTGCTTCTCTATTTAGATATCCGGTTCCTCAGTTACTGGCAAAACCAACAATCCATATTCTAGGGCTACCAAGGTTTTATTCAGAGAACTATGTTACATAAAGTGGCAGGAAGGGAATTAAAGATCATTTGAAAAAAATCCTGAGTTGCCGTTATGTGATGTGATACTTCACCTGACACGCTTGCAAAGGAGGAATAAAACACCAGTGCCAAAAACACAACCTCCCCCCATCTCAGCAAACACATTCCAGACTCACCCTGCCCTCAAATCCTAAAGGGAATCAGGCATCAAGGGGGGATTTGCCATCAGTCTCCTCATCCCCAGATGCCTGCCCTGCCATCCACCCATCTCCAGCCAGCACTGCTGCCAGGGCAGTGGCATCCTCAGCTGGGTCAGACACAGGTCTGGCCACCAGCCAAAGAGCCACAGCTGAGACAACAGACAAGCCCAAGCAGTGCATGGGATCAACTCCCTTGACAGCCCACAAAACCAAATTGTATGTGGCACTTAATATCACATTTCCCAACTTTAAGCAAATCCACAGCTTCCCACCCACACATTCCCTGCAGTTTACTGACCCAACAGATTTCTGGGATGGAAGCTGACCTGTGTGATTACTAATTTCCAAGAAGCCACTGCAACAGAGGAAGGCACTTACCCTCATCATGATCTCTCTTTCTATAATGCTGTCCTCGATAGAAAACATTTCAGACACAGGCCTTTCCTTGACCGGCTCTTTCTTGACCCGCTCCTTCACACTGGTGAGGTCAGGCTCTGAGATAGAGGGCCCCAGTGAAGACCCATTTACTGCCACTTGATCAGTTCGAGAGACACTGATGGCTTTGGAAGGCCCCGGCCTCATGGCCTTGGCCCTGGCCACAGCCACAGAAATGCTAACGTGGTCCTGCCTCAGCGCTCCGTTGCTGACACTTTTACGAGGCCCAGGGTACTCCGGAGGAGGTTTATTTGGTATTCTAGCCAAGGCAGCTTGCAGCTGAGCACTGTACTCCATGTTCTCGTGGAGGGCTGCTATCCGGGACACAGATTCCTGTGTTTCCTCTTCCTCTTCGCTTTCACTGCTGTGTATCAGCACTGTGGCATCGGAAAACGTCTTTTTGTGGTGGTAGTGAGGGACCTGCTGAACTTCGTGGCCCATCTGAACCGGCTCTTCCGGCTGCACCTGCTCCCGCAGAGTGTTCCTGCGTGGCAGAGGGGCGTTCAAAGTTTTCAGGGCCATGGCTTCTATGCCGCGCACCATATTGCTGATGACCTCCAGGCTGTGGCGCTTGTTGACAGCCGCGTGGTGCTTCACAGCCATGAGGGGCTCGCTGACCTCCTGCAGCGACTGGCGCACCACAGGCGAGCTGTCCTCCTGGAAGGTCTTCACCGAGAGCTGCACCTTGCGGGTGACCAGGTCGGGGCTGCTGCCGCTGACGTACTTGTGCCGGTGGCTGGCCAGGTCGGGCGTGCTGGTGGCGGGGCGCGGGCACGGGTACGGAGGCGGGGGCCTGAAGAGATAGTTCTTGAGCATGTGCGTGGTGTTGTAGCTCTGGCCGCTCTGCAGCTGCACGTTGGCCAGCTCTGGGGTGCTGACCGTGTGGGATATGGCGCTGGCTGCCGCCTTGTTCTGGGCAGCGTTGTTGGGGTTCATTTGGTCAGACGGGACCACGGGCTTGTTATAGGCACCCCCCTGGGGTCCGTAGGTGATTGTGTAAGGGTGCCTCTCTCGAATCTCAGGCTGGCTGTAAACTAGGTCCTCTGGCTGGTTGTAAGCATGTGTGTTTCCAATATTGAGATTCCTCAAAGACTGACTTTGGCTGTCCATCTGGATCACCCCTCTCTTCATTTGCCTCATGACAGTTTCATAATCTGGAGTTGGCCTGTAAGATGGGACGATGATTGCACTGTGTCTGTGGCTGGGGATATAGTCTGCTCTCATGATGTCACTCCCCGGGATGCTCAGATTTGAGGACATTGGAGATGCCTGGATGAAGTTCTGTGAGCGATTGAGGGAGTTCATGCTGTGGGCACTGCATACACTCCCATTGGGTCCATTACCATTCAAGTAGCTGAAGTCCATTGGACACCTATCCAAACTGGTCTGAGACCTACAGTAGAAAGTTTCTTCATTTCCATGGAAAATGCTATCTGTGTAGAGCAGAAAGAGAAATGTTGATAATTTTAACCCACGAGGATTTATTCACTGCTAACAAAGCTTCAAATGCAGTCTGCACCAGTGAGTACAGAGACAGCTTAGTGCACAAATGCAGGGAATGTTTGGTCTTGGGAGCATCCTTGAGCCATCAAAATAGAACTAAAGCAAAGCTACCAACATAAACATTCCCAACACTTAGCAAAACATGGTAGTAGTTCAGATCCCTGTGGGAAACATGAAAGGGGAAAGAGAGGAAGTGTTTTTGCCTGAGGTGGCAAGGAAGAATAAAGGGGCATTTCCTCCCTCAGCATCGTGAAAGGGTTTACTGATGCTGGCACCTTAAAACTCCAGCACTGCAAGCATATGGTTAACGTGAAACATTCTCTTGTCTCTTCTGTTGATACATGGCTGTCTGAGATTTAGAGTAGCAGAGGACTGTGAAATTGAAAATCCTACTTTAGACCAATCAACAGTTTTGAGGATCTGAAGTAAGACACATTTGGGTGATCAAAGCTCAGTGAAAAGAAAAAAAGGAAAAAAAAAACCCAAACAACAAATCACCCTGCAGATGCACTACAGAATGTTAAACACTTCAGCAAAGCCCTGAGAAGAAATCAAGACAATAAAGATCATATCCTGGATCACAACTTTACTGTGTCTGTCCCTGTTGAAAATCTTGTAAGAGAAGGGCAGTACTCCTAAATTTTGAAATCAGCTAGTTCTTTGAAAATGTAGAAAAGTCTGTTGTAAAACTAAGATAATTTTATAATTCTTCTAAAATTGAGATTACTCTTCACAGCCTGACCTCCACGGCAGAACAGCAGTAGCCACTAAGTCAAATATACTGCATGCAAGGAACGCTACTAAATGGCTCTTTTCAAAACTTACCAAATTCTGCCTTAAAAATAATCAGATCCCACAACCCAAAACACTAACAGGTATGATTGAGAGCTCCCCTGCTGCTGAGAGTACTTCAGCTGTACCTCTCATGAATTGCAAAGAACAGCAGCCTAGCAGACCTGGCTACGTGTATTCCAAAAGGTGGGGTGGTTAAGGGTGTGAGACTCAAGCTGTTTAGGGGCTGGGCTCCATTCCCAGACTTGATCAAAGTAACCCGGCACAACCTCTTAAAGAATTTATTTGTCAAATATGGGCTTGAAAACAGTTAACCCTCCTTGTGTCTGTAAGGCTAACAATGCACGCAGATGGTGCTGAAAAATCAGCAGAAAAGGTTGTGCACAGATACAGTTTCATGGACAGGACATCATGATTTCTCCTACAGCAAAAGCTTTTTGCTGTCTCCTTTTCCCTCACTCGGTTTCTCTCCCTGGCCCCAGCTGGCACTGCCTTTGAGTACAGCCATCATACTCCCTTTAGAAATTATTTTTTCAGTTCACTGAACTGGAATACCAAGTTTAAGGTCCATATAATCACACGCAGATATTTTAGGGAAATTTGAAAACTGGAATTGGACTTCAAACAGAAGACTTACTGCAACATTAACTATAAAACTGCTAGTTCTCCTGCAGCAGCAGCTCCCATTTGACCATGATGGCATTATAAATCTGGATATAAGGCTTAGGAGCTTCTTTGCATACACATAAAATTGAAGTACATTAAAGGGAAAATATATGCTCTAAGTACCTTGTGAATTATGTGTTTCAGTGTAGTGTTCTCCACACTGGACATGCATAGGAGGCAGTATAAAAGGATGTTGTCTTGGCTGAAAAAAAAAGCACAAGGAAATAAAAAAGCATTAGCCACAATTTTTGCAACTGAAACAGGAAAAATGGTTCTGTGCCCCTTCCACTGAATACTGCTCCTTCTTACCCAGCCAAAAACACCTCTTGGCAGCTCCTTATAGAACAGAGAATAACTTTTTGTAAATTGCTTGCTAAATTTTGTTACAGAGTCCAAAACTGACCAGTTTATATTCTTTTAAGCTCAACAACTTCAGAAAACAACATCCCCAATTTCAGCTCTTTTAAAATTCTTCACATTTTTATTAAAAGCCCTTGCCCTTGAAGAATTAAACCCAAACAAAACAGACACCTAATCAGGACAAAAGCAGACATGGAACAAATTCAAGGACTTAGGACAATGTTATACATGCAATTAGACCACATATGGACTTAAAATAACTCTGTAAATTACACAAACATTGAATTCCTTAGATAATGAATTCAAGTTTACTCCAGTAACCTGCACTGAAAGAATTTTTTAAATGAAAATCTGAGAGGGGGCAATTCAGCATTAAATCAGCAGGATCATTTACAGAAAATAAATCAGAGCTGACGCCGTATTCCCCAGCTTTGTCCCTTGGTAAAACAACGTGTTTTTGCAATTCTACTTTGCCACCTGCACTGCAATGTCCTGTCTGGTGTCACTGAGCAAAGTTTATGAAAACATATTTCAATAAATGAAGTAAGCAGAAAGACAAGGAAGACACTCCTGCCTCATGAATGTGTCCTCCTCAGCAGCAGAACAAGGGCTTTTCATCCAGGCTGATTCACGTAGCTCAAACTATTAAGGAATACTGTGGATGCCCAAGGCAAAAAACCCCACATAATCTGCCTTTGTGCGCACATGCACCAAATAAGCACCCTGCAAGTTTGCTAGCAAAGAGGGGGTGGGGAAGGGGTAAGATTTACATTTTCCATGTAAATGGTGAGAAGGAATAAGAATCAAAGATACTGAGCTCGGTATGAATTCTTGCATACAAAATAGGTGTGTTAAGCCAGAGCTGGAAAACAGCAAGAAGTATTTTTGCCACAAGAACAAATTCCAAAGGTATAAAATCCTAGTTTCACTGAACAACCTGGGCCAAGGAGACTGCTGTTGACAATTTTAGTAGAGGAACTGAGGCTGGAGCTGATGCTGGAAAGCCTAACAAATGAAGGGCAGAGAAAAAGTGCAAGAAAAGAGAAGTGACTTCTGCTAAGAATGCACACATCTGCAGTAGACAGTTTTCTTTGTGATCAATGTTATGAAAGGCACCTGCAAGAAATCTGGAATTTTTATTTCTAAGGCCCATCTGCCTCCTCTGAAAAAGAGAACCCTGGTGTCTGCAGAACAACAATAGCCAAATTAAAGACGACTTGTATTTTTTTAAAAAGCAGGTAATTAAACATACCATTATATTAAGATCTCCTACACTGAGGGTTTTTTTTCTGGAAAACCAACATTGCTGGGTGGTCTGACAGGAAAAAGAGACAGCAGAAACCATGCCAAAACCATATAAAGGGTCTTGATCTGAAAGTAAAGAACATGATCCCTAGTGAAGTGGCAGAGCCTCACCCCAAAGATTCCACTTCACTTCCCATTTCTGCCTTCTGATTTATTGCTACACAAGACAAATGAATAGGTAGGTGTATGAAGGTATGTGCAGTTCAGACAACAGTCAGGAGGGCTTTTTTTTCCTCCCAAAGAGAACTGTTCCAACAAGTTAGCAGAACAATTATGAAAAAGGCAGCTGAAAGTTCACTGTGAGCAGTCAGCAGCCCAGTGCACTTTTTTCAATTGATGAGCCCACATTCTTCCTCTTGATCTTCCTGAGATTCTGGGGATTTAAAGCTTGCTGCATGCTTATGCTTAAAAAAAAAATGTGTGAGCACAATTTGTTTTTTCTTTTGAAAGAGCAGATTTCCATTTTTCATATATAATTTAGAAAGCAGCTCACTTTTCCCCCTCATGATATTACAGAGGCTGTAGCATAAATGCCAAGCACCATTCATTTTTTCACCTTCAGTTTTTCATAGTCATTTCCAGGGTTTTAACTCATAAATACCAAAAATATTGTAAATATGCTACAGAGAATGCAATACACAGCCTGTATATTGCATCATGACACCTTAGAAACACCTTAACAAAGGAAAGACAAAGAAATTTGGAGGCAGCTACAGCAGCTTTCCTGCCAGTGCCTGGGACACAGAGAGTGCAACTTTTAGATCTAATGGATTCTATACACTCACACAGGGAAATAACCTGTGTTGAAATCTGCAAGGATAAAGCCATCTTAAAATCAGTACCTGCTTAAGCCTAGTTTTGGAACATTTTCACAAACTGTAACCACACTGTGGGGAAATGTCAAGAAAACACTTGCCCACATCACCCTTCTGCCAGGCAGCAACAGGGTAATGGACTTTTCACTCCGGAAAGGTCTACAAAGTAGGTATAACTTATACCACACATGAAAACTGGCAACCTGCATAGAGATAATATTGCCCTCTGTCCAAGGAACCAGCAGTGCTACTGTTACAGAATTTCAGAATCTGTTAAATAAGATTAAAAAATACCGACATGCTAGATGTTAAAATTTATTCCAAAAAGAGTTTCTTTAGAACAGACAGGAGAAAAGAAAAAAAAAAGACTAACATATGATATTTTTTTGGTAAATATTTCAGGAAAAAACACCCAGTTTTGTCACATTGAGTGTTTCTTGGGATTAGTTAAATAGAAATAAAAACAATTTGAGAAAAACTCTGAATCACAATCCTGACTGATTCTAATAGTTTAACTTCAATTAATGGTAACTTCACACATAAAACAGGGTCCTAACCCAAGAAGCTGCTAAATTGTAAGTAGTCTTTATACAAAACCATGAGGATTGAAGAACTGCGAAATGTAACATTTTGTAACGACTAGATCTGATGCACAGAGAACAAGACGCTTCAAATCCTTTCCAGAGGATTATTTTCTCTACATATTGAAATAACCTCAATGCAGCAGAAAAGATGTTCAGTTTCTGTAGGGCAAATAAAAATATAACGCCTTGAAGACTGTAATTTTTACTACTCAGTGGCGATATTATCCAGTTAATCAATCGGGGCAGTCACACCCTTGAAACTCATTCCAACCATATTGCCAACAAGAAACGAGTTAATGGGCTTAGTTGAAATTTAGAGAGTCGTTCATCTTACACAATGCCTCATCCCATCAGAAATGGTATAGATATTCATAAAGACCCCACAGTGGCACGTACCAAAGATGACCTACTCCAGGTTGGCCGCCGTCGGATAGGGGGAGGAGAATTTGATTGTCTGTGGAGGAAAAAGAGAAATGATAGAAACCACAATATCTCAATTCTGAGTCAAGAATGAATGGGAAAAACAAGATGTGAAGAATCTGTTCATATTGCTCATTACTGAGATTTTCAGATATATGAATAAATGAAAATAATTCAGGTTCTCCTTTAAATACAGGAAATGTTCCCATTCCAAACTATACATGCCTTTTGATCATTATCCTATTTGGCTCACTTGGAAACACAAGAAAGAAAAATTCTCGTTCAAAATGAATTCAACATGTCTCTTAAGTAAAAAAAAAACCTGAACATGGCAGACAGGTACAGTCTCAGGTGACTTAATGTGAACATTAACACAAGGACAATGTTATCAATCTGATAGCAATCACTCCAAAGCAATGCACACAGATCAGGGAGAAAAAGAAAAAAAACATCTGGTTAGACAATACTAGCAGAGCCACATACGATGTTAGAGTAGCCAGGTGCAGTGGAAGGAACAAGGAGTGGAGGAGATAAAAAAATACGAGGAAGGGAAAGAAACAAGTTGAAATGAGGTAGAAATATAGTGCTTACGTGAAGAGAGGAAAGGTGGAATTTGTCCTCTTACAGTTTCTGATCTGGTGAATGATGTTATGTGCAATTAGAGGAAAGGCACACAGGAAAACAAACAATTATCACTTTAACACAGAGGGCAGGAAAATTATTTGGCTAGAAAACACACTGGCATATGCTGTCATCAATATCTGAAGCTCTAGCACACAAGCTTGTACCACATGAGACCATGGTCAGGAGAGCAGTTCTAATGACCAAAATACATTGAAACTTGTTATTTCACTCTTTGACTTCATGACATCCCCTACCTTTATTAGTCCAAATATCTGCAAGTGGCCTGTGAATCTGCTATACACAACACTTTCATAGGACCCACATACTTATGGTTCAGTGTTTAGGAAGAAACATGATCAAAAGCTATGGCTTCTGCAGTCTGGATTGTGACTGGTAACAGAAAGTTCTCTCTGTTGACCCCAACACAGCTTCAAAGGGGAAATATCCCAAGGTGACACACTATGGTATTTTGTTTTCTTTCTTGACTGTCACAGGGAAAACAATCAGGAGCTCCCTTTGAATTCAATTCCTCTAGAACCATTAAAATTGAATTTAGTACTGGACTATTGAAATCCATTACATGCTGCTAAAAAATGTCTTTTCCAGTCTTTCATTCACTTCCCAGGAACTGTAAGCAAATGTAAAATCAAACCAACATCTCTTTTCTGTAAGGGAAAAGATCACTCAAAGCAGTTCACCTCTCTGGACTCTCCTGTGCTCTAACTCACCATATGTCAATATAATGTGGGCACACGTGAAAGACCTTCCAATCTTCCCCTCACCATTTTGGCTTTATTTTCCAACAGATGGCATTACCCAGCTGAACAGATGGGATGTCGAGCTCTAACTAGAGTTGTTGATAGAGATGAGACTTCTTCATGGTAAGTTTTGCAAGAATTTAATGTTCTCTGTTATACACGCCCAGCACACCACGAAAATTTCTCAAAACTCTAACCTTTTGAAAGGCAAATTTACCTCAATCTGAAAATGTGTGCTGGTGTAAATCAAACATCTCAGCTAGGAAACAGACTTTTGAATTAAAGCTAAAGCCTAATGAATTCCTCCTTCAGTTAGAAGGAATCCACCTGTGTGAGAGGACTAGCTCAAGGCCAGTTTTTAAGAAAGTGCTCAAACCAGAGCCTAAAGGAGACTTCAGGTTTAGATTTACAATCTCTGCTGTGTTGTGGCAGCACAGCGACGCAGATTAACACACCCGGGTGTCCTCCCTCGTTCAGCATGCATAAGAGGCAGATAAATTATCCTTCCCAAACTGGAAGATGACAGCCTCCACTCTCCAGCACCTTTAGCTGCTGCATGGGCAGTGCATCTGCTGCTGCAGCTCACATTTTGACATGCTGACCTATGTCACCTTTCACTCCAGTTTAGGCTAATACTCTGGGCTATCAACAGCAGACACTAAGACCTTCAATTCAAGACTCCCTGTAGGATTTGGCTGCATGGGGAGCACCAAAGCTCAGAAGGCTCAGAATGAAATTTCATTCCCAACCGTCTGTTCTTGCTGATAGTTAAAACAAAACCAGAAAAAAGGGAAAGGGGAGAAGAATAACTGACATATGTGACTAGGAAAAAAACCCAAAAAAAATCCAATATTAAAAACATTCATCACCCCCCCCAAAAAAAAAAAAAAAAAGAAAATATGAAAAATCCCCAAAACCAAACAAAACCAGTCACGCCAAAATTCAGACCAATTCCAAAGCAAGGTGTCAGAAAGCAACTGTGAAATAAGAGTACTCACTCTGTGCAGATTTTGTTCTGTTTGTAAAACTTGTGTCTTGATGCAAAGAGACGTGAAATATATTTAGCATTTTCAAGATCGTCCTTTAAAAATGAGACAAAAATAGAAAAAAAAAATTTTGTTATTTTTACCAAGAAGTGACAAAAGCTTTTTAAAAATCCAGTTGCAGGAATGCTGGGTAAGGTCTCCCATGAGCCCATGGTCTACCATGGAATTTGGCTCCCAAGAGCACATCTAGTGGTCTCAAGAGCACTGAAGGCATAGGATTACTGGAACCCAGTGGTGTGCACTTACACACTGCCACTCCTCTGCTAAGGCACGGTAGGGGGGGACTGCAGCAATAAAATGGCTCAGGCTTGCTGGTCCAGTTTCTGTACAGGCCTTGGTTCAGGCAGATGTGGAGTGATTTTAAACAGCACAGAACAGCACCGTGGCCCTCTGAGTTGCAGTATGTGCACACAGGGTAGCTCATGCCCAGTTTCTACTTATGCTGCTGTATTTATGCCATTCTAAAGGCACTTCAGTTTTTTTGCAGACTTCCCAGCATAGGACATTTCAGGATGATTGGAAGAAAACACAGAAATTAGTAGTGAAATGAATTTCTCTTTCTGCATAAAGTACAACAGGAATGTGAGGGGGGTGGTGTTATGCAAGTGAGCTTCTCTGGGAAAAAAGAATTTTAAAGGTTTAGTTTTACATAAGTAGCTTTCATGATGACACTGATCAGATCTTTTTCTTACTGTGTGAAAGAGTACATTCTCTTCTTTGTTGATCAACTCTAGAACAATTGAAGACTTGTTATGAGCAATATTCCCAATGTCATTCCACCTGCAGAGTAAAAAAATGCATTGGAGTTTGCCAACACATACATTCAAACATTTCACAAACACAGTAAGAATCCTTTAGTCAACATCAGTCTCATTTTATGGGAAAGGTTTTCAGTAACTTTTTGGTGAAAAAACCTGGTCAGGAAAACAAGGAAATCAGGTTCTGATTAAACAGCTCTTAACCCAAAGCAGGAGAGTTAAAAGCTCTCTTTAAAAACACGAATTTGAAGACCCACAATAGAAGACACACTGAAAACACAGTAATGATAACCATTTTACTGAACTGTAGCATTTTGGAACTGATTGATTTTAGTGACATGTAACAGAATTATTTTAAGTGTCATTCCTCCCCAAATGCTGTTTCCACCTTTCATTCAGTGCTAATTCTTGCTAAAGAAGGTTAAGTTGACAACATGGTTATGTAGGCTATGCATACCATGTTAATACTCTGGCCTTATGTTTGCAATCTTTTTTTTTTTTTTTTCCCAAGTCAGGTTGCCCAAGATCTGAGTTATAATCTCCTTACAAATAGCTGACAGACATTTGCGTACATTGCATGCAATCCACGGGTATGGAAGGGACTTGTTTGTTCTGTTTGCAGCATGCATTCCTCTTCATGTCATGGCAGGATGCTTGCAGTGCATATTTCCAGAGAGTTAGAATCCCAGCACCAACTCTCATTTCTACATGTAAAGAAACTTCTTGCTTTTGTCACCTGGCCCAATTAAAGGATTATCTAATTCCTTCTCAAAATTACATATGCAAAACCAGAGCTAGGGGAAAAGGGAGCGCTAACATTTTTTAAGCTGACTAATGAAAGCTCTTTTAAGGCAACCCTCCCCCCAGAATTCCAGCTGAAGTCTGATATAAGCCTTAGCTACTGACTGAAAATCAGTGCACCTCAAAACTCACAACTTCTAGGCTGCACAAAATTCCTACTCTAATCACCGGGATTAGTAAAAATCCACTTCAAGTAAACAGCAACAGTAATAAAAATACCCACTAGAAGAGTAGCAAAGAAGAGCAAAACTGTCCTCCCTGGAACCATGGAGATTTCTAGCAACATTTTCATACAAAACAAACCCACAAAAGAAAGTTAATGGATAAGTCATTCTTATTAACCAAAATAAACTGCAGAAGAAACAATAACGTGACACAGCCATGATTTTCAAAATCACGGAATAAGAAAGTTGAACATTTTTTTAGTGGGGCACCTAAATGTGGCAACCAGATTTTCAGAAGTGTTGAGCTCCCAGGCTGCCAGCTGTGAGGTTTAGCAGATTTGCATTCAGAAGCATCAAAGAAGAAGACAAAGACAAGAGAAGAAAAGGGATCAAAGCCTTGTAAACTAGAACAAGATACATGACAGGCTACTACAACTTTCTTGCCATCCAACCCATTCACAGACATCAGAAATTATTCTTTATCTCTCTTTGGGTCACGAGACCAATCCTGAAAACAGCAAACTTACTACTCCTTAGTTAGAGGATTGGCACTGTTACAGTCACATATGCAAGTAAGGAAAAAATCCCACACATACAGCTCTGGATAATAATATAAAAGACCCTCATTTTTACCTATAGATCACAGTTGTCCTTCCAATTCTGTTTTTTATGAAGATGCCCATGAAGAAAATACCAAGGTGTATGTCATTTCCATGGTTATCCTGCAGAGAAAGGAAAATTTAATAAATGCTCTGGTCAATAGGTTTACAGGAATGCATGCTGAAGTACCAAAGAGAAGCCCTTCATTGTGGATGCAGGACCAACCTATATTTTGCAGCTTGACTGGACTCTGATTTTCATTATTTAAGAGCAGTTAGCATTTAAGTGGATTCATTGTGCTGATTAGTGAGAGCAGAAGAAGGATAAATGGCCTCCAAGTTCTCCTCTCCCAAAGAGCATGCAGACCACAAACTGGCATTCACTGTATAATATCCCACATGCCCTGTCTTTGTGATTGCAACTATCTAGAGCCCGTAGGAAAAGCAATAGCTCTCTTTCACAGTCATGGTGTTTCTCCAGACATCTGTTAAAACATGTACAGATTTCAGAACACCACACCTGGAGATGGAATCCCTCTCGAAAGCTCTACCCTTCACACTTCCTCCTTTAAGTCCTCCATGTAGAAATTCACAGCGTGTCACCCCAAAAAGCACTTTCATCTCTGTGCAGCTACATCTTCTATTGATTTTCAGTAGTTAGGTTAAATATTCAACTGCAAATGCCACATAAAAACAATGCAAAACCAGTGGACTCTAAGAAGTCCTATTGCTTTTGCACCTACCCATGTCTCCTTGCACGGTCCTGTTTGAAAAACCACATGCTCTCGATCCATTTTGCAATCTGTTTTCTTAAAAAAGCCTTTTCCTTTTTTTTTTTTTTTGCTACAAAAGCTAAATACAATTGACAAAGAGGTTTTTCTACATTTATCAACAAGCAAGAACAGTTCCCCCTCAGCTGCCTATATAGTAATTGAGTCACACTTTAAAGTGGTAAACAGAAATCACTCTAACACCCTGAGTGTGGTTAGAAAGCATGGCTAGAAGAAAGGATATGAGAGAAGTTAATGAACTACGCCTGCACACACTGTACAAACCATCAGATGCCCCTGCATTTTAATAGACCAGGCTATTCTCCTGGTCTAGAACCAGAGCTGTTCTCCTGGCCTTGCTGTGCTTGATCCCCAGAAGGCAACGATGGAGTCTCTGCACCTGTTTAACTACTGAGTGCTGGCCCTTTTGCTAACTAACCATGGCTGGCAATTCATCCACAAGCTGAGAGTCAGCAGTTTAGTCTGATTAGAGGAGAACACATTCTTCTGCCTTGTGCCACAGGGAGTTTAACAAGGCAAAAAGACTGGGAATACGTGGGGGAAAATGTATGTATTTGTTAACATTCAAGTAATATATCTTCGTGTGAGTGTGTATACACACAAATAACTGCATGGAAAGAAAGACACGTAACTGTAATAACATTTTCTACCTGGGAAGAAAGAGAAATCTTTTGTTTTCCCCTTTGAATGCAGTTCTGTTTGTGTCCATGGCTAGCATGCTGCTCCTGAATGCAAGGCTAACACCTTCCTGCCATTTTGCAGAGTAGCCAGTCTGCTGTTCCTACTTACCTTACAGACACATGCAATAATATCTAATGGCACCTCCAGCAGAGGAATCTGTTGCAGTAGTGTGCAGCAAATTCCAAATTAATTTGAGGAGAGCTTTCAATTCATTCATTGGCAATAAACATTCCAAAATTTTTTTGGTGGGTTGAAAGTTTTTTGCCATTCAGCTCCCCCTCTCCAGGCCAATTCTAAGATTGGTGCCAAAGGATCAATTTTGACTTCAAGCAGGAAGCTTGTTTTGTTTGGTGTGCATTCGGGTTTGGTTTTAAATTCCAAGTTATCTTTAACTAGCAGGAAAACCATTCACAATTCACCACTTATGGTGTCTGGGCAGGTTAGCAAAAATAAATGGGTCATGTTGGTTACAGTGGTTTTCAGTTTCTCAGCACAATTTTATCATGGCAGTATGTGCTCCATAAGGCCACAAATCGAGACAATCCATGGCAGGATAGAACTTCCAGTGAAGGCAAAGTGACTGCAAATGCAAAATAATCCCTGAAGTTCCCCCTTATTAAAAATGCATGGAGGAATTCCTGTGTGCATACATAGGAAACTAAGGAAAAGTGAAGTTAATGCTTTCTAAGTAGCAACCTAGAAAGACATGAAAAGGTCTCCTTTTCCTATCCTGTTAAAGATTACCAGAGCTGAGATTCATTTGCCCTGGCCACTCTGCCATAGACAGCATGTGAAAGAAAGGCAAGGATCATCTCTTATTCTGTACAAAGGATTTTCATGGAAGAGAAGCAGCACTGTAAGCCTAAGTAACCCTCATGCTGCAATGTCCATTCAAAATACCAGCAGCCATTTCACCCTTTGAAGCAGTTAAACAAGTCCTGTCTCTTTTGGACAAACATGACTTGCATGCAGACCAAAGGTTGCTGCAGAGTTCTGCATCGCTTGATTCAGAGGTTCCTTTATAATGTACACTGACATACCTTCACAGGGAAAATTTCCTGTCCAAACCCATCCAGACGTTCCACTTCATTGATGTACATTAGCTCAGCCTCTGCTGCTGTAATGCCACTGCAATTACATTAACAAAAGGCAGCAAATAGTTCAATATTACACACACACACACAGAAATACTAGCAAAAAAAATGTGAGTTTCACAAACCACTTGAGAAGACACTTTGGAAACGCTGGCAAGAAATGCACAACACAAAGATAGCTTTCAACATTAGGATCATTTTCAGCAAGGGGGAAAATTTTAGTAAATGTCAGTAAGCTAAGGTACAAAGCACAGTTCAAATGACAGGAGGAACAAACAGAACTGATCACGTTATTCAGCTTCTTCCACACATAAAATCTTCTCCAGGCTTTATTAAACCACCAGGTTGTGGATAGTTTTGGATGGACAACTTGAACCATAGGGGTGCTAATCTGCCTGAATATTATACAAGGCCACTGGAGCTTCCTAAAATGACTTAAAAGGAAAGACCTACATTTTCAAGTTGGCTGTTCAAAAACACAGGCACTAAATCCAAAAGTTGAACAGATTCTCTTTCATAAGAGAGAACAAACCAGTTGAAAACTTTTACACACGTGTCTACACATGCTCCTGTCACAGCTCAGGAATTCAAACAGATTTCAATTCTCAAAAGCAGGTCAGAATAGATTGCAGGTTGCTCCAAAAAAAGCCACTATTAATTTTTCTCCTCTTTACTCCTCCTTACCACAGCTTACAAACAGAAATATAGGAACCAAATACCTGGGAGAAGGGAGGTGGAATACGATCTACCTGCTGAAGTGAGAGGAAGTATTTGCTCTTTGTGTTGCAGAAATAGCACTACAGAGCACAGCAGGTGGGAAATCTTTCCTTTCAAGTCTGAGTTAACCAAGATCACACAAGCAGCCCATGGCAGGGAGAGAACAGAACCAGGCCTGTTCATGGCCAGCTTGGAAGCTATTCCTTTGGTTGCATCAAAGGCCCAGGCTTGCATTGAAACTCAAAACTGAGAATGGCCTTAGACTTAGAGATTGGTATTTGTCCTTTTACAACCACTTTCTCTCATGTAATGGGGAATGCAACATCCTTCACATAATATTCCTATTGCATATGACATGTAGGCACTGCCATTTTTTCCCATAACAGCACTCTGGAGGTTTGAACACTTCCACCACTGAAACACCCAGACAACATGAAAGACACTTGCTCACAAAGAAGGTTTTTTTAGTGAAGCACTAAATGCACACACTCCTGGCTCATTAACTAGTTACACTATACTGTGTCCTCTCCTTGAGACTTCAAGCCCAATTCCTGTTATTTTCATTTCCATTACACTGAGAGCATTTGTATCCCCCTCCTCTTGTAAGAGGCTCTCGGATCACCACTGCTCAAGTCACAGGGTCTTTCACATCAGGGTTTAAATGAAATCAGAGAGAGGAGTCTACTGCATAGCACCATAGGGTTACACATGCTCATTAAACTCAAGGGTGTAAATGCTCGTTTATTTGGGATTAAGCTCCTCAGCCATTTTGTGTTTACAAGAGGCAGATAATCTTCTGTGATAGACTAATTAAAAATCCAGTGACACAAAGCATAATAGCAACATGAAGATAAGCTAGTTAAACACTGCCAGGAATGCATGGGGAGGCAGGGAAGTACTAGAACGATGATAATTTTTATTTTTTTTTAAATAGCACAAACTTTATCATGTCAAGCTTACCTGTGAGTTCGGTGCTCCTGGGCAACCTTCTGAGTCAGGTCCTCCAGGACAGCTTCATCCTGGGTCCAATCCTGTAAGAACATGAAGCAGCATCAAAAACTAGTCAGCCAAAGAGAGAGAGGATAATATGGCAGACAGAAATTATGACAGCAGACAGTTCAAGACTTGTACTAACAGAGAGAGGACCTATCACTGACCGCATTGAAAATTCAAAGCATGGGATGCTGAAAATATGTGAGAAGAACACAAAGCTCTGATTTATTTTTTTTTTACCTTCTTTTGAGAGAGTAAAGAGATATTGTTAAAAATAGAGGTAAAGTCCTTATTATTCCAAAATAGAGAACAGAATACAGAGTACAGACATTGTCCTGGATAAGTACTGAACAAATCCTTAAAAAATTTGGAATTCTACAAAATAATATATACTTTTTAAAAACAATATAATACACAGACCATGGAAAAAGAATTCATGAGTATTTTATGAAAATTAAAAAAATGGAACATGAATTAATAAGTATTTTTTGTCCTGCAACATACAGACACTCCCTTCCTCACGTTAAAGGGATTGAGTTTTGCTACTTCTTCCAAGATGCATTAAAACCTACTTTATGCTACTTCTTCCAAGATGCATTAAAACCTACTTTATGCTTGCAACACATTTCTTAGCAGAAATTTTTATACTCTCCAAATTTAATAATGTGCGGTAGAAACAATTCTGAAATAATTGGGAGCAAGTTAATAAAGGAAGTCTACTCATAAATTCAAGGCCAAAAAAAGGAAGCTGAAAAACTTTCTTGCAAAACCTCAAAGTTCTTACTTTTACTGAAGAAAGCCTTAAGGCTGCATGTAATGTACTTAAATACACTGCTTCTTGCTCAATGAGGCCCTCCCCTCTGATATTTGCTTCTGCCACAAAAAAATGTGAAAGTGGTAGCGTGCTAATGAAAAATGGCATGGTACATGCCTATGCACAGCCACACACCTGTGGGGTGTACTGTGTACATAACTTTGTTCTTTTCACTGCTGAAGAAATGCCATTTGACACACATTGTAGCCTCACAAGATCAAACAGCACGAACGCAGCTGCCCCTCCCTCATCCACAAGCTCACTTCACTAATGAATTTACAGCAATGTTCTCAGTGGAGGCTTTCTCTATGCCCCAAATTCACTCAAATCTCCCAACGTGCTTAGGGATTCGTTTGTATCTACAGCACTTAGCCACTGTTACTGAACTTGCAGTGAAATATTTACTTTTAGGTCATCCATCCTCCCCAAAGAGCAAAGAGAGAAGTAGTTAAAGAAATGTCTATAGAAATAGTTGATTTAAGAGTAGGCTTCTGAAGGTGTAGGAAGCAGACACTCTGCAGACCTTCTTAAATTTAGCAATAGTTGCATGGATGAAAGGCAAAATACCACAAAGCAATGGTAAACATGCAAAGCAGAAGAGAGCTGACCACACTACTGTGGAGGCAGCTGACACAAAAATAGACGCTCTGAGATGGGCCCAAAGAGTAAATTGCTGAACCACAGAGAAATTAACCACCTGAAAGCTTATCTAGAGACCTAAAGCCTTCCCTATTTTTTTTCTGAACAGAAAAATAGTACCAGCATATCCCTGGCAGTGTTCAAGACCAGGCTGGATGGGGCACTGAGCAACCTGGTCACTAGAGGAGGTGTCCCTCTTCACAGCAGGGCACTTGAAACTCTGATCCTTCCAACTCAAACCACTCTTTGATTCATTTTGTATTGAAAGAACTTTGCAGAAGTTCATTTACAAAATGACTCCCTGACAACACTTTTCTCCATGTATATTTTCAGCCATCTTCTATCCCATTTAGGCTATCATACATGACTTCATAAGCCATCAGCTATACACAAGATCATCAATTACTTATCAATAGATAAGATGGCTAACCAAAGAAATTCTGCCCCATAGAGAAGATAACAGAAGTTTATTAGTGAAAGGTTAATACTGAAGCCACATTTTACATGCATATTCTACATAAAGCATATTCAGATCTCTGTGCATTCCCATCTTCCTTCTGCTTTTTTCAGGTTGTATTGAACTATCTAGTGGCTCAAAATCGCATTTTCACTTCAAGACACCAGGCAGATGTCACCTTTTTGGACTTAAGATGAACTGTCCACTGCAGTTCCTGTGCAAAGAGCATGGGTAAGTGGGATGAAATGCTTCTCAAGCCTTCAAATTACAGTGAGATGAATCATTCTCCCTCTACTGCTCCACTAATTGCAGAGGGAAACCAGATGCCTTGACTTCCAGGCAGCTACACTCAGGGCATGGGAACCCCACCCTGCTTCCAGATATTTTTTCCAGTTCGAAAGAATTCCATAATCTTTTATATTTATGAAGATTACACTAAATACTCATGCTCACTTGTTAATCTAAGACAAAGACAGCCTTAGCTTCAAAAGGCATTTGTTTGGGGTTTTTTCTTCTCTAATTCATCCACCCAGAGAACCTCAATGTCACAAACTGCAAGTGCTTGGCATTTCCACATCATTAGTGACCTAAGCTCCTTCCCTAAACATTCAAGTTATTTGCTAGTTTCCAAATGAAAACTGAAATTACAGCAAATGTTCCCTGGAGAACATTTTGAGAAGACCTGATTCAGGCTTCACTAGAGTGCAACAGTCAGCTGATGTAAATCCACACTCTCTTCAGGAGTGGCTGCATGGCTTCTCCTGTGACACAACATTTATACAGCAGCAGCCCTTACATCCCCTTGATGTGCCATGTTGCTAATATCACAGTACTGCTATTATATACCTTCTAAAACAGCTGCAAATTCTTTTTTGATTCAAAGATGTCTGTTTCTTTTGTGGGCACCAGTTTGTAGTGGAGGCTCAACAGGAATTGAAAATGGGCTGACATACCACAGCATAGAATAATTCAGCTGCAATCAAGTTTTAGGGAGAAAACTTTGCTTTCACTAGTCCAGTGCTGGTACTTTTACTCTGTTATCAACAAAGCCATCTCTGAGTCATGGAGAAATTACTCACAAAAGACCACAAAAGAGAGGGATAAGGAACTCACCATAGGAAACAAGACATATTCTCGGAGGAAGTCATGAGATTCAAACTGATTATAGTCTCCAAAATCCGCTGGAAAAAAAACAACACAATTACTCATTTTGGCACTTTGCACACATGTCAAGACCACACTCAACCTTTGCACAGACACTTAATTTCAAGTGGGCAAGTTCTCTCTGAAGCCACAGCCCAGCACAAAGACTTTTGCCTGTACTTTAGCTTTTAACATGGAGGTCTGAAAATAACAGTGTTATTACCAGAGATCGAGTGACAGCCAACAAGTAATTTCTTTCTTTGATCCCTAATATAATGACTATTTGTGATGCTTAACCATCAGGAGTGCAAGAGCTTGTTTTTCTGTAGCCTTCTTAAAATCATACCCCCATTAAAAAAATGCTGGGATTGCTCAGACTCCTTAAAAATCATGCACACTTTTGCTTCTCCACCATTTCCAATTCTGACCAGGCAAAAAAATAGAAAATTTAACCTAACTCTGCTACAATTCTACACAATTGAACAAAAGATTAATTTTACAGCCTAAAAGGTTAACAACCTGTTAAGGTTTAGGTTTAACCTAAAAACGTTACAGGTCAGTTTTATTAAAACTTGTCAATAGCCAGCATAGGGGAAGGTTTATCCTTCTGCAGCCAACCCAGCAGTGCAGGCACTGTGTTGGTTTAACTAACTGGCCCACACCTTTCCCCTCACTTCTCTGCTTCTTCTACATCTCTCCACAAGATACTCATCTCCATGCTCACATTCACTCATCTGTCAGGCTGAGAATTCTTGTCCAAATGTCCTTGAGACTGTGAAGTTTTGGAAATGCTTACTAAAGGCTCAGCTACATTTTAAAACCCCAAACAATGCCTATATTTATCTATCTGTTAAATATACAACAGCTTATATCAAAAGAGTATCTTGCCAGGAGGTTTTTATTTTATATTAATTGAACAGGATCAAAAGCCATCTACAAGATTCTCATATTATAGGAGCTGGAAATCCCCACCATAAATCATTTTATCTAAACATTCTTTCAAAGCTACTAGACAATTTCACGTATTGCAGGATGCCAAAAATGCAGTTTCATTTTGTTTCTACCTCAGAGTTATGTTTTAACATAAACAGAAAGAAATCAAAATGGGCATAAAACAGAGTCTGCAAGTTTAAAAGAAATAAGTATTTCAAATACCTTTGGTTGCATCACATGCAAAGGACAAAGGAAGTAATACAAAGTCAGGAACAGTAGGATTGATTCACTCTCAAAATTAGGAAAAAGCTCCAAAAACATATTCAGTATCTATTGAGGCCTAACTTACACACTGGAAAATCTTAATTTACCTAAATTAAATTATTCATTATGGAATAATCTTATAGACATATTTCCCTTTATTAGACGAACATTTCAAGATTTGACAAGAAACATTTTCCCTTCAATTTTTAGCAAAGATTTAAGATACAAACACAGCATTTCTACTGCTTTAAAAAAAGACCATAAAAGCATTTCTCTCCATTGAACCTTTAATTGTCAAGAATCAGATCCTCATGTTTGCTATTTATGCACACACTTCCCCCTTCCCACTCATCATAGAGCATGCACAGAATATCACTGTTGAAACTTTGCCTCAAGGTCTCATAGTCAGCTGTGGATAGACTGGAACATACTTTACCCAAATACAGGGCTTCTTCCTCTGCACACACAAATTTTATGATCCTACTTTTATTGATGTCCTTAGGAGTCTCAGAATAAAAATCTTATTGTAAGAAGTAGTTTATTATTAACTTATAACTCACATAACAATTATGGTCATGTGTTCTTTCATACTTCATATAGCACTATACAGCAAAATGAGATTTTAATTAAAGGCAAAATTAAAGCTGCTGCCGTGCTTTTTGATGTAATTTGCATTTGAAACCAGAGAACGTGAAGCAAATTCATTACTGCAAAGTACTCCGTGGTCAGGGCTGGAAGAACTGGTGTTCTGTTGAGATCTGCTTGCATGAATTTTAGAAATAGGAAAGTTGAGCACTGTGATGTGGTCCCTCATTCCCACCCTGAGGCTGTGAATGTTTCATCCACAGCAGTCCACCCCTGTACTTCGGAAACAATTGGAAACCCAGCTGCTGTGAGCAGGAGTCACACAGGGCCTCAGTGCCCAGTCAAGATGAAGGACAAACCACAAGAGCCATTCCTGGACAGAGGCCATGGGGTCACATCACCCTACCTTGCACTGCCAGGCCAGCCAGTCGAATCCCCTGCTCGAAGGAGGATATCAATCGCCCATCAAGAACATCCTTTTTCACCTGTAGGTAATACTGATACCTACAAAAAAAGAAAAAAAAAGAGCACAAATGAGCACAAATTATAGTATGCTTGCACATTTCTTACAGAGAAAAAAAGACTGTGGAAAAGAAGGAAAAAATCACACCAAACAGGTCGGGCTGTTGAACAGCAGGTCTGTAGCCAGCTTCAGAAGCTCCTCGTTACCATAACAAACCAATATGATCCCTACCTGTGCAATGCTTCCAGATGGGTGGAAGGGAAAATAAAAGGTTCTAGTTTGGGTTCCCCAGATCACATAGAAGAGGGACATCTGTGAAGATTACCTCTTTTGTAAATTTTATAGGGACCATGCAATCCCCAGTGCAAAAAGGGGCTTTTCCATGTTTCTTCTCTTGTTTTTGATCCATTGTCACCATTTTGATTGAAGAAATAGAGTTTTAGCTATACACTTTGGTCTGCTGATTTACCTTAAACTATGGCTCAAAACAAAAGGTTTTTTAATTGGCATTTTTCATGCGTAAGGATGACTAAGACACAGAAACCGAGCAAACATAGCTTCTAGCACAGTCCATGTGTGCACTCAGCCTCATGCTTCCAACCCCTGGGTACACCTGGGTGATCCAAATCAAGAACCTCACAACCCAACAAATGGGCTTTTTCAGGCTGTGAGCAGACACAGCAGCACAGAGGTTACTGTACCCTACAGCTGCGTGCCTGCTCTCCCTCCAAAACTGAAAGTGGAGGGCATTCACTTAAAATGCCATGGATTTAAGAAATAATTGCTTGAGATAAACTGTGATAGAAAGAATTGGTACACAAGCACGCCAGCCAGTCCCAGAGACTGCAAGCTCTGCAAGGCAGACAGTGAAGAGCAGTCAAAGTCTGTGGGCAGCAAACTCCTACCTATGCTCAGCTACAACCACATCCAACTTCCCTCCGAACCTCTCCACAGGGAAGCTGTTCTGGCCTTGCTTTAGAGTGTAAGTGACCTTCCCAGCCCCAGCAGAAGGGAGAACCATTGCAACATCACCCACAGAACAGGAACTGTGCTGCCTTTAACTATGCTTGCAAGTGTTACTGTTTGTGTTGAGGTACAAGAAAAATATAATCTCATTTAAACTGCTCAAATTTGGCTTTCACACAGCCCAATAAAGATTAAAACTGATGAGGATTTTGAAATTTTCTTGAGAGAGGCAGGCTGAAAAGCACATGGCTTCTCAGCCTGGGCCCTGTGCCTCAGCCCCAGGTTTCACACTTGCTCAGTCCAAGAGACAAATCAGCTTCTTTCCACTCCTTTGCAGAGACCAAATCCTAACTCTGAAAACATGCATGCTTTCATAGAAGCTTGACATAAGCTGCTTTATCAACTACGCAGGTGAGCAAGTGTTGGATCCCAAAAGCAGCTATTTGCATCCACACTATATATACACTCGATCTATGTATTCTAGTCTGACAAGGAGAGTAAAATCTGGATCTGCCATAAAAGTAAGGCTATTGTTAAAACAAACACAGTGGTAAGAGTCTACATGAGACTCAAACCAATATCAAAACTTATAGTGACATCCTAGCAGTACAGAAGTCAAGTCACCAGCTGTAGAGGAGCCATGATTTCAACCACAGTGTCCACACAACTACAGACAAATCACAGGAAGGATTGCTTAGGCAAGCATCAACAAAATATAGTGCCTGTATGCAGTTACTGCAGTATCAAATATTATGACCTAGGCTTTCAAAAGAAACATTGCTGTGGGGTTTGAGTTGCCATTTGACTGGCCTTAGGAATCTGATGAAAGCAAGGAGGAAACATTGCATAGTTTCCTCCCCCAATACTGATGTTAGAAATGTTAGGGCAATTAAAGAGCACACACACAGTTACACATTCACAGACAGCTGACAGCACCCACAACCTGAGAAAGATGTCTATTTACAGGTGTTTCACTTGATCATCAGGAAGGGGTCACATTTAAAAATCTTACTAGGAATATTCTATAACTTTATTCATCATAGAATGTGTTGGGCTGGAATGGACCTTAAAGATCATCTAGTGAGTTTAGGATTTATTATATATTATAGATTAGCATGCAGTAAGAGTTTAAGGGATGTACACAATTAGTGCTCTGACATTAACTGGTGTACCTGTCATGAAAAAAATCTCATGGAGAAAGTTGCCACTCTTCACAGTCAAACTCACTGAAATGCAATCACTTGCTGTGGTTCTGGCACCTGTTTCAGTGGAATTGCCAAGATAATCTGAAGAAGACTGAGGCAGAAACCTGTGGTTGGTACCTGCTTCCCCTTTACCCTGGACTGATAGGGTGATAAGTGACATCTACCTAAAGAGTCCCCTGACATGTCTTTTCATGGTGTCCAAATAAAGCATGAACTGGGACATCTGTCCCCAGGCACGGACTGGGGTGGCTAATTCCAGCGTCAAGGCAGAGGAGGAGGCTACCCTGGAGGAAGCTCCACTAGAAGGCTCTAATAACTCCACCAGCCACAGATTCATGGCTCAGCCATGCTGCAAAACTGTGGTCAGGCTCCCTGCCCAGCCAAAAGAGAGGAGCAATTGGCCCAAGTTCTGTCAGGGATTTGAGGCTCCTCCATCTGAAATTAAATTAAATGCTGTTATTATACCACTATGCTAAGTGAGACTGCTCTTTGTTCACTTGGATTGCAAAAGTAGATCTATAATTTGAGGGAAATTGAACATTTTAAAAATGTTTTAGCTATAGATTCACTGAGGAAAGTTGTTCCAGGACAGCAGATAAAAACATGCATTTCAGAAGCCTTCTATTAGGTGGTTTAGTTGGGAAAGCCTATGAAAAGTGAACAAAAAGAGAAATTTGCAATCTGCACCCCCAAATAAGAAGACAAAAAATTCAAAGTTAAGATTTATGAAGGTTTAATCACAAAGCCATTCTGGCGTACCAGAGGAGTGCAGAGTAGCAGATACCACCACAGCTGAGTCACCTAGGGCTGAAATCTCTCACCTTCATTGCTCTCTCTGGGTTAAACTTTACTAGCAGAGCCATTGTGTATTTAATATAATAAAGGCTACTGCAGTTTGCCAGCCTGTAGCTAATTCCAAGGGGAATGGGAGTGGACAACAAGTCTGAACAAAGCCATCATTATAAGGATATCATTTCCCACAACTCTATTTAGCCAACACACAAAACATTGGAAGTGTATTTGCATGCATGGCATCAAAAAGCACATTTTTATAGCGTAAAGAAGCTGCAACTGCATGACTATGAGACAACATCTCAACTCTAGAATCTGTATTTTGGCAATCCATGCCATTAATGGGAAAAAAGTCCACCAAAACCCAATAGAATCAGTGAGCAGGAGATAAGGGTACTATTTTAAAATTTAATTGCAACACCCAGATTCAAACTCTGCTAGAGCTGCATAAATGTAGGGAAATTCCATTTGCTCAAACAATTCTGCATGGACCTCCCCCAGGACCAGGGTTCACATTTGCTCTCAGGTCACTTCAAAAAAGAATGTGGGTGTTTGCATAATGTCACTGAAGTCATTGCACCCTTCCATCACCACTGTTTGCATGATGTAAAATCCCTGTTGCTATTTGATACACGCAGAAAATAACTCAATTTCACTGACTTCTATTCTCCTCATCAACCAACGTTTCATATATCACAAGCCACACAGAACCTGGCCTGACCAACACAAGAAGTGAGGTTTTTGTAGAGAAATTAAAGGATGGTTTACAAAAGTAAGAATATGGGTTAGGTTTGCAGACTAATTGCACTGCATCTTCAGGATTTTCTTACTAGTGACTTCCACAAAGAACCACAAGGCAAATACTTCCTTACCTTAATCATTACTCAGTATTATCAGATCCACTAGTCTTAGTAATCAAGCAGCATCAAACTCTGCTAGGATATGTAAAGAAACAGAACAAAAAATTCTTTTTGTCCCAGGGATTTACAATCTAAAGGTATATTTTATACAAAAAGGTGACAGTATTGTGTTAATAAGGTTTAATACGGTTTGAATACTGCAATGTGACCTGTCTGGATTTTTGTTATTTTTCACAGGTTTTACTTTCCTTCTCTGTACATCAGGGAGGGTTTGCACCTCCAATGCAACAGGAAACACTTAAAATGCTTTTCTGTTTTTTTTTTATCGGTTTGTTTTATTTGGAAATTATGAGCCAGTATAAATACATCACAGTTTCAATACCAATAAATATTTACCTTGAGTGTATCTGAAAATAAACAAAGCCCTACAAAACATGTATTAGTTACCCAAGAGGTAGAACTCCTTTACAATCGTTTCTAATGATGCTATTACTGGCATGACTAACTTTTTTATAACTCATTAGGTACCATTTTGGCACCAAGCCTATCTATTGGATAACTACATAGCTATGTAATTTAACTTCTCTGGAGGAAAAGAGAACTGCTCTACCATTTCATACCTCCAAAAGAAGAAACCTTTAAGACTCAATGGAGAAACAGATTGGTCCACCAGTGGTTTAGCTCAAGAACTTCAGCTCTTTTCCAACTTCAAAAAAAACTGCAATTAGAGTACAACACGATCTTCTAAAATTAGGAACACAATAAAAGTCTCATTGAGTCACAACAGTCCAAGTCAGCTCATTTGAGATTATCTTAGTATGGTAATATATTTCTGAGGACAGACACTGCAATGTACACTTATGCAATATGTGCCCACAGGGGAAGCGGTTTCTCCAGAACAGAAGTCTTTTATCATTTACTAAAATTATTTTAAGCACCAGCTTTGATATGGATGTGTCTATTGTTCACCTGACACCTTAAAACCTGCCATGATTTTGGCTTTTTTACTATTTAGCAACAGGATTCCATAGATACATATATGCTACATTTGAAATAGAAGCCCATTTTTTTATTTTGAGGATATATTTTCTCAGCCTTTGAGGTAGAACAGCCAATGACTTGGCTATTCAGGGCAACCAAAGGAACTCCCTAATAATGACCAAGAAGTGATTTCTATTTGTTTATTACATATTTAAGATAATTGTATTACTATTTAAC